GCTGAAGAGAAAACATACAATACCTGAAGTGCCTCTGAATTACCATTACCAGCAGCAATATGTAAGGCAGTTAATCCTAATTTATTCCTTTGGCTTACTCGTGCACCATGCTTAATGAGAAGCCACAAAATTCTGGAACGAGAACACAACAAAAATCTGTTAAGGTAATTAAATCTGTGCATCTATGTGTGTAAGAGAGTGAGAGAGAGAGAGAGAGACTTTATCTGCTGTGGACATAACGATCTCGACAATTTAAGGGTCCAATGAAGAGCAGAATTTCCTTCTGCATCAGCATCATTTACATCTATATTTGTCTTCAGAAGCAGCTGCATGACGGCTTCATCTCCTACCTGTCCAAAGTTTAACAAGTTTCTGATCATACATCACAACAAAACTCCAATACTACACAGATATGAAGCATACAATAAAATGGTACTTGCTCACTCCATAGTTGAAAAACAGGGACTTCAATTAGCAATTTTTTTATAAATGCAATCTTGAGTTTTGACATATTTTCTTCGGGATTTTATTATAAGTTACAAGTTACAACTATGGAGTAATCACTCTGCATGCGAAAAAACTAATTAGGTGGAACATGTTGAACTATTTGTACAGCCTAGATATATATCAGGCAGTATTCTCTATATTACATCTTCTGTTTGTGACACGTGCGTCCGTCATGTTTTCCTAGGGAGAATCAGTTCATTAAACAAGGAAACAAGGAAACAGAAACACCGAGGCCCACAAGACAAGGCCAGAAAAAGAAGCCTGAGGGAAAGCAGACCCAGTTCCAAACCCAACATAGACCATAAAACAAGGTCAAGGCCCAGACCCCAACCACTTGACAACCAGAACACAGAAAACATCACCTGGATGAGAAGGGAACGAGTACTCAAAACAATCCCTACACTTCTTTCAATTGGGACCTTAAAAAAGAATGTTTAGTGGGGTCATCAATTCAGTAATCCATTGCAAATCCCAAAATGGATGCGTTCTTTTCATGATCGTCAAATCGAGGCTCAACTTCCCATTCTCCTTCCTTTCTTTTATTTAAAAGAAAAACAGAGAGAGTTTGCTCTGTTTTTACTCTGTTTTTCTTTTTATATTAAAAAACTAAAAGAACGAAGAGATCGCTGGGCTTACCTGGGCCGCTCGGATGAGTGGTGACGTCACCTTCTTGTCCGTACAACCGCTTTCAGCAACAGCTCCGAAGAGCTGAAGCAACTCTATCTCGAGAAGCAAAAGCCTCCTTTTCTCGGAGTTGTCGTTCTCGGTGGCCGTCGAGGTGCGTTTTACCGCCGTCAATGGCGTCGTTGGACGGACCAGGGACAAAGCTTCCCGTACAACACATTCGTATAAGGTCACCTTCTCTTTAGAAGCCGAATCGTTATCACGCAACTCCAATACCGTTTCGCTAATCTTCTCTGCGGCTACAACAAGCAGAGCCGCTAAAGCAACTATACGCCCTTCAACGGCGTTTGCATAGGCCACCTGACCGATTTCCTTGGTTTTTTCACTGAGAAGTCTCACGGTGGTCAAATCCTGAGATGGAAAGAAAATTAAATATATCAAATTGAAATTTTGGTGATTTTTATCCAATGGATTTTAAAAGAGTTAACTGCTAGCTGAAGAAAAATAAAAGCAAGGAGCTTTTCAAGCTGTCACCTTTTTCATCAGTTTCTTTTATTTTTCAATAGCTTTCTAAGAAACCAAACAGGCTTCGCATATAACTTATTAATTCAAGAAGAAAAAAAACCTTTTCGCCGAGAACGACGACCAAATCCTCAAGGGTGTATTCATCTGGAGTCCAAATCACATCCATCCTGAAATCACAGGGCGATGAAAATGAATTAAAATTAATGTAAAGAAAAGAAAATTAACAAAAAAAGATGTGCTTCAATTAATAAAAATGTGAAATAGTCAAAAGCGAACTGAAAAGGCAAAAGCAAATTTTCTATATGAGGCAATTTGTACAATGGTGTTTATGAGGAAGGGGTCACCTTTTACCTTTTAAGGTATAAAAAACTAAAACGACGTGTTTTTTGAACGTTTTAATTGGCTGTTACCTTGCGCTAGACAGAGATAGGTCCAGAGCTAGCTGTGCTCGTCCGTCTCTGGTCCTCAGGCCCGTACGAGCGTGTTTCTTGAGCAAGACCTCGACGCACTTGGCCGCGTGAGCCAGAGCCGCTGTGTGAAGCGCCGATTTTCCCGAGTCATCGAACTCGTTCACCAACGGCGTCGTTCCAAGCTCTCCGCCGAGCAATGCGGAGGCGCAGTCCGGCGAGTCGAAGTTACAGCAGAGGTGGAGAAGCTTCGAGACTGTGCTTCGGTCTAGGGGCTCTGTGGAGGCGTCGGCGAGTCGTTTCGTGTGAGTTACGAGTTGAGCCTTGTTGTCTCGTAAAACCGATTTGATCAAGAGTGATTCAGCTTCAACGAAGTCGAAGTGTTCACTCGTCTCTTTTCGGAGATCGTCGTCCGCATGCGAAGCGAGCTTTTCATCGCGATTGTAAGAGAAATAGGTGCATTTGGGAAGCGAGTTGATCAAGAGCTCCATGGCTCCGAATCTTTGTATTTCCTGCGATTAATTAGGATTTTCAGTACTTTTTCAAATGAAAATGCTGGTTAATTGAAAGATAATCAAGATCAAGAGCACATATCGCACCAGATCCATTGAAATCCCTAGTTTGAGCTCGGATCAAGCTCGTAACTTCTCGCACAATGCAGCACACATTATCAGAGTCACTGAAACCGCGAGCTTTAAGCTGCTAAAGAAACCCTAATTTTACGGTTTTAGTGAAGGTTTCTTCGTCTCCATGAAATCGATTCAGTGTCTGGTCTTTTCTTTCTGAGAAGCAACGGATAGGCAAAATGGGAGGGAAGCGTAGGGGCCAGTCTTTACTTATAGAGGCGGACTTCAGACGGTTAATTAAACTTGATTTATTATCAAAAAAACAAATTTAATAATTGATTTCTTTTTTTCTTTTTTTCTTTTTTGTTTGGGAGCCAAGCCAAGGCAAAGGCCCTGGTTGGTGCATCAACCTCAGTGGGGCCCAGCTCGAGGCCCTGGGCTAACTTTAGTTAAATGACCAGCAGCGGAGTTTCCTCGCAGTTTACCAAATTCATATTTAGGCCCTGACAAAAACAAAAAATAATCATATTTAGGATGAAAGCTACATTTATTTGGACAATTTTGACTTGTGTATACCTTCGAATTTAACTTACTTAAGTAGTTGTTACTTGTTGAGGGTATTTTTCGCCTCCATAATATGGTGTACCGAGGTCCTGAATCCTGATGATGATATATGTTCTTACCAAAATTATGTGTTCAAATTTTCCATCAAAACATCGCTTATATATAAATAAATAAATAAATCCTTAACTTTTGTTCTAAACGTTGGATTATTGTTTTCTTCTATCCTGTAATTTGGTATAGTTTAATATTAAAACAATAATCATGCATTAGTAAACTCTTCTCTTTTTTTTTCTTTTTTGCCATGTGAGCAGCTTTTCTACCCCTTTCAAGTTTCAACAATATCAGTTTTGTGATCGTACTATATAATCACTCATCTCATATGATATGCTAATTGGAAAGTATCCACTAGTGTAATGGTTTTGAGCAAATGTTATCTCGGGCAACATTTTTGAGTTCGAATCTTACTATTCGTGTTATGTGTATGAGTTTAATATATTATCACCCTTCTCAACAGAATATGTAAAAAATAATAATACATAAATAAATCGGCTAATATGCAAGGAGCCCATTATCGGTTTTTATTTGCACACTGAAGTTTTGGAAAATATTGCATGGACCAGTGTGTCACATCCATAATCTGAAATATCGATAACATTGACGAAATATCGAGGATATTTTGGTTTTTTTCGAATCACGGATATTTCGGAACATATCCATGTACATATCGTATAAATATAGACAATAATATCGGAAAATATCGATAATTTCGCTCACACTTCAGCAATATTTTGTCAAAATATCGATATAATATCGTTAAAATATTGATGTAAAGGAAAACAAAAAAAAAAAAAGGGAGGGAGGGGAAAAGGAGGGAAAAAAAACACGAGGATTTGAACCCCTCCCATTTTACTCCTTCAACACCTTAACCACCATATATCACTTATGTTTTAGTGATAATATACTAAAATATTTATATTTATATGGGTGGCATGTTAACAATTACATGCAAAACTATTTTGGGGATTTATCATTTGATGAATGCTCTTCACAATACACTTACTCTACACATAGAAATGATGAAGATAGTGAAAAATTTGAACCTCATAGGAACTCTATGTGGTACTAAGTCACTCATGTATTTTACCATGCAATGTATGAAGTGTAAAATATTGTAATAAATCATTATATATAAATGATTATGGTGTGTTTAATATTTTTTTCATTAATTACTACATATTTTCTACACTCACAGTGTTTGTCAACTCGCTGTATAATCAACTTAATTAAGTTAAATCCATCATATAATGCATTTCCTTCTATTTTTTATTTATTATAAACTAATAGATAATTGACTAAATAAACATTTTCCAAAGTTTCAATAAAAATTTCCAAGTTTTTCTTACAATTTCCGTGGTTTTAATTCAATTTTTATCTATATCGATAATATCCCGATATTTCAATTGAAATTTCTATGTTTTTAGACTACCGATATTTCCGATATCATCGATACTTTTAGACCGTCACACACTAATATTAAATAACTCAAAAAAGAGCAAAAAGGGAAAGTGGGTCAATGAAAATAGGAATGTAAAAGTTGAAAATCAAAATCCACATCGCACTAGGAAACTCCCCAAAACTATATACAAGTTAGCACAAACAAACCCACTACACACAATTCCTTTCGAATCTCTTAAGCTGATCTGATCATCTAACTCAAGGAAGCTCTCCGCTGAATCATGGGTTTCGTAAGAGATTCATGAGTGAAGATTTTATTTTATTTTATTTTTTCGGTTGAAAATAAGTGAAGATGGGGAGGGGGATTTGTATGCAAGCAAGGAACATGTTGGGTCGAGCTTCTGATCATATGGCAATGGACCATTATGCTCCTCAATCTCTAAAGCTTATGTTTCGCTCAATTGAATTTCCTCCCCTCAATGCACGTCGCTGCCTAAGTCCAAGTGACCAAAAGTTCTTCAAATCAAGCCATCCCGCTTGTAAAACAAATAGGTTTGATTGTGTTGGGTCAATTGAGGGTTGGTTGATTATGGTTGATAATCAATTTTGGCATCCAGATGGTTTCAATAATTCCATAAACATTCCATGGTCTTTGTTCCACTTGCTTCACAACAGCCGCAAGTGTTTGAACTTCTTCTTCGACCCGAAATACGAGGACCGGGTGATGCTCCCGTCGCAGTCCACCGTCCCGTGCCATGGCAGCAACCAACCAAACTTCTTCAAGAAAGTGGTGGCCTCTTCGTCACCAACAGCAAGCCAGGATTGTCTTGTGGCTGCTCTTTGCTCGGGAGGCCGTCTGGCGTTCTGTACACCGTCCGATCAATCATGGACACTCATTGATCAAGGCAGCGCTAGAGGGGTCGAGTTTTGCGACGTGGAAATCATTGATGGGAAATTGCACGCTGCATTGAGTAACGCACCGGAGCTTTTGATGGTGTTTAAAATCGAAAGCGGTGCGAATCGGCCACGTACCTATTTTGCTCAATATTTGGTCAGGCTTGAGCCCGTGCCAATTCCTTCACGTGCTACCACAAAGGATGGAGGGCAAGAGGGTTCTGCATTGAAGGAGTTGTTTATGAAGAATGTTCTTCATCGGAATTACAGCTTCGATCTTGAGGAGGAGGAGGAGGAGGAGGAGAAGGATCCAGTAGGGTTTGGACCTGGAAATCTCAGGAGAGTGATCAAACAAAACTGGTTAAACATCCAGCGGATGCAACATCAAGCTCAGGGTGGCCCAGGCTCACCTCAAGCTCTTGGCCTACTTTGCTTAGTTAAATAATAGTTCCGCAGTTTGCCTCACATAACAAATTAATGCATGAGCTTATAATTATGCTATGTGTTACGTGTTACTTATATTTGCCACAACGGTTCTGTAAATAACAAATTTCTTTTTTAATGTAATTTATTTTTTAGTTGATGTCAGATAGTTAAGGAAGCGATCCAACCCCATTGCACTTGAATTCGATCTCTCTTTTTGTCCGTTTTGAGTTGTTCAAAATAGGCTTTTAAAATATCGCTTCGTCAAGAAAAGAAAAGAAAAAATCCCAGTTTTCCCACTCAACAATTGCGTAAAAACAAAAACAAAGAAAAAAACACAAATTCATCATTGAAAACAAGCCAAAATGCAGAGAAATTAAACCGAGGAGACCCAACGAGACAAACAAAAGTAAGACCTATATTATATTTGTTCATGCGAATCATGCCATGCCCTATGACCCAAACTATAATAATTGGGCTTTTATTGAGGCCCAAAGAACTTGTCTTGTGAGGATCCTTATCCTCTTCTGCCGCATGTTCCCGAATCATAGGCCTTTCTCTTTCCTCTAACGGGGTTCAACTAAAAGTGAGGGCCCATAATCTTTCCCACAAGAGATACTTTGTTGCGTATGCCTAGCTGCCGCAATACGGTACACATGCGCAAAATGTTTCCTTATTCACTAACACAAGAAATTAAGGTTATTAAGTAGCCATCACAATACGGTAGACACACCTAAAATATTTCCTTACTCGCTATAACATGAGAAATTAAAGTATGTGGCGTGAAGGTGGTGTAAGTAATTCTTTTTTTTTATTTTTTTTTTATTTTTTATCAGGTGTAAGTAATTCCCACAACACAACAATTGCATCTAGGAATCTTTCCTTGCGTACTAACACAAGAAACTATGATTTATGCAGGGTAATAAATTCACATAAATTATAACACATGTGTTTGGATATATTATTTAAAGGTTTATATATCAGTAATTATATTCATGTTGTAGTTTAAGGCCCCGTTTGGTTCATAGGAAAGGAGCCTTATGGATGGGAAATAAATTGTTTTCTCATGTTTGGTTAATTCGGACATGAGAAATAGTTGCCTAGCACATGGAAAAGTAGGGGGAAAAATGAAGCTCTCATCTCAACTTGAGTTTTGTTTTTCCTCATCATAGGAAATATTGAGAAAATGAGTCAACATTCAATACATATTTTTTATGACCATTTTGTCCCCCATGAACAATTTAGAATTACAATGTATTATTACAAACTTTGTTTTCCATTTATACTCAAAACAAGCATGAGAAATGAAACAAAGTGAAATCCTCCGGTTACTTTCCCGACATTATCAAACGTGGAAAAAGAATCTTTCATTTCCCATATCTTGAGAAATGACATGTGAAGTAATTTCTCATTGAATTCGTTCTGTGAACCGAAGAGGAGTCATAAGTTAACACCATGGGCATGACGAAAATTACTTAACATCCACACAACACAACAGTGAGAATGTAAAAAGACAGTAACGCCCACGCACACCCCTCAGGGGGCTTGATGGTCTTTCGAAAAAATAGGGGGCTTGATAGTCTTGTCAGTAAGAAAAAGCCTTCTTCCTCTTTGAAACCCCTAGGCGACCTCTGTCACTATATATACTAATAATTATTACAAAACCCTTGCCTGATTTTCCCTCCCTTTCCCGACATAAAATTAGGGTTTTTCTTTTTCTTTTCTCCAAAACTAGGCTTTGCTTCAAAATGGTGGCGGACCAGGGGAAGAAGGCGAAGCTCACTGAGAGAGCTCCGGGGGACGAGACTGATCACATTGATACTGAGCTTGTCCTTAACATTGAGAAGTTGCAGGAGTTTCAAGATGACCTCGACAAGGTTCTGTGACCTGTCTCTCTCTCTATCTGTGCTATGTGTGTGTAAATATCTGTATAGACAATGTATATGCATACGGGTGTGTATATCATAACTTATGTGTGTGAATTTCGCCTTTATCTGAAATATGATATGGTTGCGTTTTTGGGGTTTGCTTGTTTGAATAAGGATGGTTAGAGTCGGTTTTTGTAGTTATTGTTTTGTGATTACAATGGAGTTTTTGGTTTTCTTTCCCTTCTGTTTTCTGGTTTGGTTGCTGTTGATATCCGAATTTGAATTTTTCTTTTCTTTTGTTGGTATTTTAGAAGAGGTGAAGGCAATTCATATGCATATTTAGCTTATCTATAAATAAAAAAATTGAACTTTAGGGTTTTCAAGGTTTGGGAATTATGAAAAGGACAATATTTGTTCATGTGAGAGTCTTTTAGGCTATTTGGGTTAGTTGTCCGAACTTTTTCTTTCTTTTCATTTGTTGTAAAAGGAAAAATCACGGATGAGATTGAGAATTTTGTTCCCTTTTTCATCAGATTTGTTAAAATCTCTTTGTAAATTTGGGTATTATAGTAGCATGTACAATTTGCAGAATACTGTAGTTGGCAACGCTAGTAGTTCATGTTGTGACAACGTTGATAACTAAAATTCCTACAAATCATTCCTTCTATATTGGTTGATTTGTGATAAAAAGGTTACTAAAGAAATTAATGGGGGAAATAAAAACTCGTGGGATTTTTAAATATGCCCCTATATGTTAAATTTATGCGTTGTGCACTTTAATATGTTTCTCTTAGAAAAGTTTGGCTCATTGGGTACTGCTTAAGATTTATGATTGGTATATGATGCTGATGAAGCTTGAAATTGCTTGGGTGCCCCGCAGGTTAATGAAGAAGAGGGTGACAAACTGATGGAACTTGAACAAAAGTTTAATGAGATACGCAGGCCCGTCTATTTGAAACGGAATGAGATAATAAAAACCATTCCCGACTTCTGGCTAACTTCTGTTAGTGATACATCTTTTTTTGCAGTCATCTTTTTTGAAATGTTTAATGGTTAATATAAGATACGTGCATGTATATAACTTGGGCATTGTTGTTTCATGCAGTTCATGAGCCATCCTGTGCTTTGTGATATTTTGACCGCAGAAGACCAGAAGGTCTGACAACTAGTTTGCTAATAACCCAAACATTATTATTTTAGAGTAACTTTTCGTTTTCCTAAATTATTGTCTTTTTAATTCTTTCAGCTGACTGGAATTGACTGAATGTTTGACTGTACTATTGCTTTTCTGTTCTTCTTGACCTAGATCTTCAAGTATTTAAATTCTCTTGATGTGGAGGACTTCAAAGATGATAAGACGTTAGGATACTCTATCACGTTTGTAAGCTTCTTCTTTTCTTCTTAAGTTTACCTTAGTCATGCGTATAATATGGCTTGTCCTCTTCGCTTGCTGTTTTTGGATATTGTTTCAAATATATAATGCCCATGTGCTCTGATAGTGTTTGTATTACTCTTTGCTAATACTTCTTTCCGATTCCCCTATTTCAGAATTTTAATGAGAATCCTTATTTTCAAGATACAAAGCTGACTAAAACCTTTGCATTCGTTGATGATGAGACAACTAAAGTTACTGGTACTACCATCAAATGGAAGGAGGGCATGGTATTCACTACACACTTGCATCTCTGCCTTCTTTTTCTCTCTCATTTTTTTTATATTCCTTCATAAAAGTTACTGAGTTGTGTAAGTTTGAAGGGTTTTGCCAATGGAGTTAATGATGAGAAAAAAGGAAACAAACGACCACATGCTGAGCAGAGGTTTAATTCTTTTCATCCTATTTGCTCATTTATAGCTAATTTTGTTCAATTAGGCTGGGGTTAAAAGGTTTATGAGCTATTAGGATCTTTTGTCGCTTGGCATAAAGTGTGGGTCCAGTTTTGTACGACTGAGCCAATAAGTACTTTATTACGTTGAGGATCTTGTTTCTTGCCTGTTCCCCTTACTTTTTGTAGTTCATGCTCTTTAACTCACATATGAGTATTTTAATAATTGCAGCTTCTTCAGTTGGTTTAATGAAAGTGAACAGGACGATATGGTTGGATTTCATGAAGAGGTAACTGCTCTTGGGAATCTATATTCACTAAGTTATGGTTGCATATTTATATGCATGCTAATTTTGCATATCTAAAATACTTCTTTTAAAAAGGAAATTGTTTGATGATCTCAAAACTAACCATCAAAAGTAATCAATGGTAATTGTTAGCCATATGTGTGGTTTTTTAGTTATAATTTTATCATTTTAACTGAGTCAATTCTACAGGCTTAGAAATCCCCTTTCGTTTTCTTCTTAATTCTTTACTGATTGATCGTTTACTGTGAAATTGCAGATGGTAGAGATAATTAAGGACGACTTATGGCCCAATCCTCTCAAGTATTTCAATAATGTAATCTTTTCTTCTCAAGTGTGTTTATTTGTGTTTTTAAATGCTTATCAACAGATCCCTTCTTTTATTATTTAAAAGTGGACTGAGGGAAGATATCTTTCCTTTAAATACTTCACACACGGGATGGCATCTCGTCTCCTCATCATATGTATGGGTTGGGGGTCGAGGTCTTATGTCCAAGACTTGCTGGGAGCGCTAGTCTATTTACCCTGAACAAATAAAATGAAGGTTATTTAAAGTTTTCCTTTTTCAATCTGACCATGGTAGGCAAGGTAACTTTTGAATTTGTTGTTCCAGGAGGCCGATGAAGAGGATTCTGAAGGTGATGAAGATAATGAAATGGTAACTAATATAAATTTCCATTATCAAAACATTGATTACATTGATTATTCTTCTTTTTTAACTCTTATGAAAAAAGAAATGATTATTTTCTAATATATGTTGCAATTAGACCAGTGTGCTGCACGGTGAAGATAGTTTGAGTTCTACTTGATTGCTTATCTCTACCTATTATTGGTCTTTCATAATAGTGGCATGCAACATGTTACAAAACCAAGTGTTGGCTCATTTTCAATGGGAACCAATTAATCCCCACAACTGCAATTTATTTTGGAGCTATGGTTCTCTTTATATATTCATGCTTTTGGGGTCTCATTGATCTGATTGTGTGGGTTGTAAAAGGCCGGTCGATCAGCCCTCTCATGGCCCGAAAAATGGGATCCCCTTCCTCCAGTCTTTTATGTAAATTTATTCATTCTAAGCAGAGTTGATCACCTTTAGAGAGTTTAATGACTATCCTGACAACTTCTGAATATGCATGTGCAGGAGAATGGTGAGAATGATGATGGAGAAGACGATAATGAGGGGGATAGCTAAATTCTTTCGGGCTGACTTCAGTTTTGTTACTCTTTCATGGATTGGAGCAATAGAAATATGAAACTTTCTAGATACATGGAAATTAGCTTATCGCCTGGCAGACTTCTTGCATATAAATTAGTCTCAGTTGATCGTTTAGACTTTTTGGTTTGCACCTTTCGTTATGTGTAGTTTACCTACCAAATAGAATGAGTTTTAGCTCCAATCAATTGAGAATGAATTAATTTTGCATTGCGCACTTCACATGTTGTTGTCTACTTTATCCACAATTATTTAATTTTTTTAACATTCAGAGCTTGAAGATCTTAAATAAAAATCACCCAAAAAAAAGTTCTTGCCCCTTCTGGGACATCCGTTTTTATTTTTATTTTTAAGATCTTCAATAACCCAAAAAACCACACACAAAAGGCTATCCATGTTGACCGAACAAAAAACAAGTATTCTCGTTGGTCATCTTGTGTGTGAATTTCTAGTCTTGTTCGTCGAATGGATAGTTTCATTGAATCTCAAAGCTCCAAAAAAAATGCATAAAGCGAGTTGACATGTAGAGTAACAATATGCTCGGCTGAACTGTATACCATTCCCCAGGAAAAAAGGGGAAAAGGAAAGAAAAGACGAAAAGTTACTTCCCTTGAAATTCTGCCAAACCTCCTATGAGTAAACAACATGAATCACGGCTATCATACAAACTATATCTTAACTAAGAAGAAAATGGGGATTGAATCCATCCCATATTGCATCCTCTCCCAATTTAGGGATCATGTCATCACCTGTCGAACCAATAGAATCCTCATGAGATTTAACTACCAACAAATACAGGTTAGAAATCAGAGGGTTCCTAAGAAATGGATTTATAGCTCTAGAAAGTTCAGCAACATCAGAGAGCAGATGCATGTCATCATCAGTTTTCCCACTGAATATGCAACTTGAGACAGCATGAAAGGCAAGCAAATTGACATACACAGGCAGAAATGCATCCTTATGGTTGCCTGCTCCACCGACCCAATCGGCCCCGCCTAGTTGCCCAATGCGGTCCTTGGCAAATGACATCAACTGGCTGGAAAATCTGAGTCTCCAATCATGTAAATAGTCCCTAAACTGTTGTTTGTTCAGAAAGTCAACAGCCCAAGATTTTGAAATTGGAAGCTTCTCCATTTGAGAACAACAAATTTGACAGATAAACAACTTTTCCTCATGATGATTGTCAATTTCCTTATCAAATACCTGTCTCACAAGATCTCCTTTGGCCACCTCATAATTCGATGCATTCAGCATCCAGCGTAAAAGACTATCCAAATACCCGATCCAGTGACCAAAGATGGAAGATAGATGCTCAAAACAAGATCCTATCACTTTCTCCACTTGAGTTGGAACTACTCCACAATGGGAGCTTCCAGATCTTTTGCAAGTAAAACACCCCTGAATACCCCTGGCAAGCCTTTCTCTAATCCCATCATCCTCATCCTCCAACAGCTGGATGCATGCAAACCATATATCTAGAATTTGACGAGCGTAAATATTAACAGCTTCTTTGGGTTCAAAATAAGAGCACGGATTTTCAGAAGGGATTTGGTTATTGGACAAAGTAGAACCAATAAGCTCAGCTTGCTCTAGCAAACCACATGCTATGATAGACTCTGCTGCCGCCTTGCGCATGTTTACTGGCTCAGAGGAAGCACTATGTTTCTTAATTACGCTGGTGAAAAAGGAAATTGTGCTATAAAGTTGTGTCAACTTTTCTAACTGATCAGACTCACTGTTGTCAGTTGATCTCCTCATCCTTACATCAGAAAGAACAGATGTTGTAAATAAACCTGCAAACCTCTTTACGCAGATTCCCATGCAGCAGATGAGTGTTTCTCGAGCTTTTGCATGTCTTGTGAGCTTGTACAAGGAAATCAACTTGTCCCAAAGTACAAACACAGAATCATATTCCATACCACCAATGTAAATTGTTTCAGTGCACATTTCATCCCTAGGCTTCTGAAACTGCAGTGCATTCCAAGTGAACAGAATCCTCAGAATGTAATATGAGCATCTGTGGTTCTTCTCCACATCTAAGAGATTAACCAACGTAGTTTGGAGGTTAGTTCTGTTCCAGTGCTGAATAATCCTAATCTCACTGCTATAATCATCGGACTCACTACCAGATTCTGTTGATGTTAGGAATTTCAGCAGCCACTTCAATGTTGCAAGTCGAACTTCATATTCTGAATCTGACAGAGAGAGTACCAGCCTTTCCTGGAGTCCCACAAAAGCATTTTCCATTTCAGGTATCTTCAAAAATCTTGAATTAATCTGAGAACGCCTCTGAGGCATCTTAAAAGCCTCTTCAGCCATTTTCTCAGACGCCTGAAACACGCAACTGAAATAGGATACTGCTGCTTGTCGGCGGAGTTCTACCATTGTTGGATCATAATATGAGTGCCCCTCAGAAGCTTCTACATCTAAGCATTCTGTAGATAACTCCAAAAGTAGGTTGCGGAAAGCATAGAAATTTTTGCTCATATGGCACGTCCTTGAAATACTGAGCATGTGATCCAGCAGCTTTAAGAAAGAAGCATTGAGGATTGGACAAGGGCACCATCTGGGCTTTGCAATCCATGAATGCGGTAAAAGATCTTGAAATAAGTCACCTAGAATCTGATCTTTCTTTGAGAAATCAGCCAGATTTCTACAGTTTGTATCCAAGAGAGAACTTAACTGCAATAGAACTCCATGAATCCAATTATATGAACTCTGGTGTCGTCTTTTGGTATTGTGAAATAATAGGGACGACTCAGGAGTCACTGTGTCTTGGTTATCTATTCTAGGCAACTCAGATACTATATTGAGGAGAACAGTTGGCAATTTCTCATTTGATACAAGGCCTGTTAAAGCTCTAGATGCAAGAACACGGACTCTTAAATTGCTTTGGGTTGAGCACCTTCTAATGAATGGCATGTACAGAAAAGGATCCAGGTCATCTCCAGTCTCACTTGCGATTGTTGAGGGCTTCAGCCTGGATAACAGAATCAAGACAGGGCACAAGCTTGGGTGCACAGCATGTTCCAGGTTGGATTTAGATTGTCCAGATACCCCATCCCCAAGCAACTCAGTAGCAACTTTCAGTTCCTTGAATAGAAATGGATGCAGTAAGGGATACCTTCATGGAAAAAGGCATCAAGATTAAAGTTTATTCAGGAAGGCCTAATATAATCTCAGTGCATTCAGCAAGAACCCATGATAGTAAGAAATAAGTTCACAATAAAAGAAAAGTAAAGTCCAAATGATAGTGTACACAAAGCATACTGGTTCTTTTGTGCGTGTTCTCCATTTAATCATAGATAAAATGCATTAGTCATTCTCAACAACAGCAATTCACATTTAGCGAAAAGGAATAACAAATCGATGCCGCTCCTTATTCCCCTTTTAAAATGTTTCCCAAGTGCCAAAAGCAAATTTAACAACCTAAAAATTATGTTTCCTAAGTGCCTATCCTTATTCCCCTTTTCGGGATTTGAAATTAAATCAATTATGTAAAGTTTAATACTTTCAAAAACATGGAAGAGAGGATCCAACTGGAAGAGACAAAAAAGCATTTGATTAATTAGTCAAGGAATCCGTACCGATGAAAAAATTCGACCCCAGTTAGTGCACGCCTTGCGGACTCTCGTTTCTGGACATTGAGGAATCCAATCATGCGACGCACCAAAGCAGTGTATGCCAGACAAGCACTGTTCCGAACCTCCCAGTAGGGAGAAGAAAAGGAGCGAATTGAAACAATCATAGCCTCAGCAGAAAAACCTGATGTATCAGTAGCCAGGTTGGTGTCATTGAAAGTGGCTTTGAGTACATTGAATGCATGTACAGTAGGAATGACACCCTCATCACGGATCTTCGAAACCTTGTCACTTATATGTATATCTGACGACACCACAGACTCAAAACTTTTGTCTGACTTTATTGAAGATACTTTACTTGAGGCGCAATTAGAGCTGTTGGTTTCAACTGGATCCATAAATGATGCTTTAGCAACATCTATGAGCCACCGTAAGGCCCGTGGGAGAAGTTTCTTAGGTGCACCTTCTGGCTCTGAGAGAAATAGAGCTATAAATGCTGCAGGAATACCTGCACTTCTCCTTAACAAGTCATCCACTGTTTGACCCTTGGCAACAGTTCTGTCCATAAGTTGCTCCATCCACGATTCTGTTAATTTACAAAGTCTGTATGGGGAAAACCATCTCAGAAAATGGATTGATCACGTGCCTATGTATTATAACAAGTAACAATCTCTATGATGCAGTTGAAAGAGTTAACATCAGTGATATACAACAGCAAAGTTCTTATAGACAGGATGAGATTAACAGCACCTAGCTGGTCATATAAGAATTTAAGAATGTATCCCATCAATTAAAACTAAAGCACCTAGCTGGAAAAGTGAGCCTTCCTATTAGATTGTCATGATTACATAATGCTATACGTCCAAATCCTTTTCAGAAGTTCTGTGTGTTAGCATATGCATAAAGGCTGCCGTTTCTTTTCTTTTCTATTCTTATACTAAGTTCATCTAGTGTTGCACTCATATCCATGCTTCCTAGTTTTTCAGCGAACCCATGGATTTCATAAGTCTAAGACAGTTTGCAGTCATTTCATGCTCATATTTATGCTCCCTTTTATGGTCATTTTGTACCAAAGGATAGTGCTCACTAAATTTTCTTTGCAAGTTAAACCTAGATTGCTTTGATTAATTCCTTAAGAGCATACAGATACTATGGGGTTGAATTATTTCTTTTGTCTCCTCATATATTTTGTAACAAGTAATCTTCTGAATGGTGATGGCATAATTCAACAAATAACAATCGTTAGATACATAGAATCTTATACTAAAGTTGTTGCCTTGACATAAAACAATACAATAGTATAAGATATTAGAATGTACAGACTTTAAAATGTTCAAATGAACAGAAACATACCGAGGATCATTTGAACAAAGTAAGCGGTTGCAAAGAGCTGTAAATCCAGCCCTCGTTTTATCAATTGCACCATTATGCTTCATCTTCAGCAGGACTTCCAAAAAGTGATTCCCAATTGCTTCAAGTTGTTTCAGATCAAGCATTGCATCGGAATCTATCATAACTGAAACATCGGAAGCACAAGAAGAGGTGCCTTCTGAATTTAATGATTCTGAGCAAGGGCTACTTGGTAAAGGAATCTTTCTTATGATAGTTCCCAAAAGAAGACTCACCTGAAAATTAAGGAAGATTTAACCTTTAAATGCATGGTCCTCATTAATGTAAAATTTACCAAATCTTGGTCTTGACAGTACATACTACACAATACAATATCATATATCCAACGCATTTGTGGGTTAAATTATAAGGTTTCAACTACAAATCCATTTTCTGAGAAGAAAAAACATTATCACAGCAATGACATATATAGCTGCATTCAGTAGCAAAACTACAAGTAAACAACAATTCAAGTACCTCTTTCATCGCAAGCCAGCAGCCAACCATTACACTCTGTTCTGATCGCCTGTTATTCTGCACAAGTTTGGAGTTTCTGTCTTCATGCTCCAATAGAGATGCTTTCACTTCCACCTCATCTGGAACCTCTGATAAGAAGGAATCATCATCATCAACCATCCCATCCATGTCTTCAGGGAGATGCCAAGCATCTGCAGAAACCACCCAGAGTGCCAAAGAAGTTATTCGCATCACAAGCTCCAAGAGCTTCTCTAACGAATGTCTCATCTCTGAGATACTAGACAGTACTACGTCAGAGTTGAAGTCCAGTTCCTCAAAAGCATATCGTAGTGTGAGTAATATCCCATGAACAAAGCTATTCTGACATGCTTCAGAAAGATCCCTCTCCCCTTCCACTATGGAAACATCCAACCAATCAATCAGTGATCTTATATACTCCATCGCAGGATATCCAGAATTATAAGTCTGATAATCTCCGTTTTCCAAGCCAGACTGTGAACGAAGGCAAGCTACATCAACTGAAGCTCGGACTGTCCATCCTAACTGTAAGACATACTTCCTGAAAATCAGCCTTAAATTCAAAGCTCCAGCATCAGTTTCTCTCACTCGTGGACTGCAAACTAATTTCTTAGCCCATAAAATCACGTTCTGGACCATATATTCATCTGAAATTCCAGGAAGTGGGGTGGGAAAATGTAACAGTATGCGAAAAGAACTCTCTCTGAGCCTGTCCCAACTATCAATTATGGATCCAACTAACAACAAAGTTGAATCAGGTAAAGTGATTCCTTTATTATAGGGATAGAGACGGTCTTCCAAAGACAAAGAACTGATTTTTTCTTGAGTAGCAGGCACAATGGACCAAACATTAAGCATTATTAGAATGAGCTCCATGGCCATTATTTTTCTCTTATAAGGGGCAGAAGGATAGCATGAGAAAAATAGAAATGAACTTAACCACCTCATGAAATGAAAAAGATCACTTGCTCTGTTAGCTTCAGTTTGCTTACTTCTACTTGAAAGATGCATTTCATTGCTGTTGTTATGCTCAAGAGGTTCCCAAATTCCCTGCTTGAATTGTCTCTCCAGGGCTGTTCGAACCCGAGAAAAGAACTTCCTAAACAAGCTACTCCACTTCATTTGGAAAGCTGTAGAGCAACACCTCATGTTCAATGGCACTGCTTCCTTCAATAACATGAGTTCTAAATGGGAAGGCAAACTAGCTGTCTTGGGATTCAAGAAAAGTGTCTCTGCAGCATCCACACGTAATGAATCATCAACATGGGTCAATGCCAGCACTAGCCACTCGACAACAACTTCAACCTTTATCCCTTTGATAGAAACAAGAGCATATCGATCAGGGAAATCTGTTTCCAGCCCACCAAATTGCTCATGTACTGCAGAATCATTGCACCAATCAATGTCCCCTTCAAGCAACGCAAGAAGACGAGATACCTTGAGCAATGATACTAAGATAGCCACTTTCTGTTCAACTCTCAGTTCCATGTTTCCACGACAGAGCTCCGGATATAACAGTTGATTTTCGACCTTGCTTGGACCAACCGAAATAAAAGAAAGCATAGCAAATATACTGTCCTCATCCACTTCAAGTAAAATTGGCAGAGCATAAGTGTTCAAATTAGAGCGGAGCTTTGAAACCCCAGAAGCAAGTCCATACAAAAATGGAGGCAAACATTGCTCCCTGTAAAGTACATAACCACCTTCAATACCATCACTACTCCAACACTCATTACGCAAGTCCTCAAGTAAACACTTCAAAAATGATGTGACAGCACAGCACACATCATCATCAATGTATGCATGTACAGTCTCAAACAGCAAGTTAGGACTCATATCCAGCATAGTTTTTGCACCCAATCTTTTGGTCAGTGAAACTAAAGGAACATATCTCCCCTTGCAGCGAGGTCCCAGACGGAGAAGATCTGAAGCAATATTTTGCAAGAATGACCTTATTCTCTCACTACCTTCTGACCAATGAAGAGTGGATCGAATGTCTAGGAAAAGATCAAAAATGAGGTGAACTTGTTTGACTGTTTGACTTAAAGGATCTTCCAAATTATTCCATACAATTCTCAATATCCGGGTTCCCATTTCCACCGGGATGGGATCATAATGCTCGGATGGGATGGTAAGATTAGCTAACATTGAGGTTTTTATTTGTTGCAAACAAATCTGCAACACAGTTAAAGTGTGAAAGTTAAAATGGCTATCGGTAGGGTTCTCGCAATAGTTGCATAACTCAGGCAAAATTCCATCATACAGTATGGTCTTAACACAGTTGCCACCATTTGTATGAACCTCATAACCATTCGAATAACCCCTTGACATATCAAAATGGGAATTAAGCACAGCTCTTGAAACCGCTGTAAGAATCCCTCTGATCAAGCAAAGTCTACTCAAGTCAGATAAATTACATATTTCAGTGTATATATCCCCTTTATAAGGAACTTTGGCTATCGCATTCCTTTTTTCACTTTCAGAATTAGCATCCAAACTACTATAATCAGTTGGGTGAAATATACCTTCAAATATAAACAAGCCCAGCTCTTCAGGACTGAGACACACTTGCAAAGCTGCACAAAAGCTCACCCCAGCAGCCACATAACAGTCCCTCGAAAACGCCAACGACTTCAAAATGCTTAAAACGACAGTCACACTCATCTCCAAAACATTCGAATGGCCAGCATCAAAACCACTCCCAGAACTATTAAATTCCTCGAATTTAGAAGGGAAACGCTGAAACAAATAGTACAAACAAGACAAAGCCTCTTGGCATTGCTCTATAACAATCGGCGAAGGCCGAGCAGACCCTTTAGTCTCCGAAACCAGACCATTCAAGCTAGAAACTGTATCCAAAGCAATCAAAACCGCGCACTCTTCGACAATTTCAACTAAAAACCCCAACTTGGGCATACCCATCACCGATAAAGCCGAGCGGGACACACAAAATCGCTTCCCCTTGCCGCCACCATAGTCTTCGCAAAGCTTACGATAGCATCGGCCGATCAAAGCCTGAAAAGTACGAGCCTTGGCCAAAACAGAGACAAGGGTTTTATGCAAAGGCAATGAATTCTCCAGAAAAAGAAGCTCCAAGTAAAACGGCGCCGCCTGGGCGACTGTAGCTTCGTCCCCATTGGTGAGTAAGTCCCCGAATGCTGCAGCGAGGCCCTTAGTGTGATTGAGTTGAGCATATGTGGAGTTTAGAGAGACTAGTTCTTTGAGTTGGGAGAAGAATTTTAAGCTGGATAATTGTGATGGGAGGGAGTTCAGGGACTCTGTGTAGGAAGACGGGAAAACGACGGTATTGTAAGTGTAACGATGGCGGTGCTGTATGGCACGCCATTTGGAGGACATGGTTGTGAACTTGGACCCTGGAGGTGGCTGTGTGCTTGTGTGCTTGTGTGCTTGTGTGCCTGTGTGCTTGCGTGCTGGTGAGTAGTTGGAAACGTAGAACCAGCAGTTAGGGCAAACGTCAGATTGGAGCCAATTTCTCTCTCTCTCTCTCTCTGAACTGAAAAAATTAGGCTGTGTTTGGTGTGTGTTGTTTTTTTTTTTTTTTAAAGCAGTGTTTGGTGTGTTTCTTCTGAATTTATTTACAGACTCAAGTAACGCTACCTAGGTGTATAAATGAACCGAATCAACCCGACCATGAAGCTCTATTCTGATAATATTTTTCTAATTGAGACTCGCCTCTAAGTTTTAACAAAGCTCGTACAATTGTGCTCAAGTTCAACTCTTATGATTTGTTCTAGCTTGAACTTGGCTTGATTAGACTCAATTTATTTATTTTTTATTGAAATTTTATAAATGACTTAGCTTAGATCGTTTTTCAACTGAACTTCAATTTAAGTTTTGTTAGTAGATATAGATAAGACCAGTTGATTAGGACAGTGAATCCACTATTTTTCTCCAAATTTGAATACCCCTTTTTGTAGGTTACTTAGAAAAAAATTAGACTATTGTGCTGGTGTACTTTTGTGGTAATGAGGTACAAATGTCTTAACATATTCTTCGCATTCGCAAATTTTTAATAAAATAAAAACCTTGGGTGTCCACGGTTCATTTGAGGGTGTCCATAGAATCTCTAAATTTTCAGTTTTGGACTTGGGTCTAGCCCACTGCAAAACGCAAGGATCAAAATCTCCATATTTGGGCTCAACTATACAATCCCCACTCCAATAGATGATGTTCATATTTGGGCTCATTTATTTTGTGGTCTATTTTATCTGAACCGTCCGTACTATCATGCAAATTTTGCTTCTTGGCAGGCACCAATGCATGAATGAAACATGTTCGGTCTTCTTCTTCTTCTCTCATCGAGATGTGAGCATATGCTATTATTATTATTATAAATACAGGGTTGTTCTTCAGTCTTCAACAAACCTCCCACAAAAGCATGCTCTCACTCAAAATGAAAGAGGCTGTAGATGAGAGTTGCAGGAAGCTGAACCTATTTCATTGTATTCAAATCCCAAAACCTTTCACCCCTTTTAGCATATGGCTCTCTCAAATCTCTCCAACACTCCATTGCTCTGTTTAAAAGTCGTATGTGAGAATTGGTGGGGACTAAACAAATTACAACCTCTCTATCTCAATAAGAAACTCCTAATTTGTTTAGTTTCCTCCAATATCTCATCTCCAGCATCTAAACTAAATATTCTTCTTGGTAATTACTCCATTTAAAAATCGTAAGTGAGAGTTGGAGGAAACTAAACAAATTAACCTCTCAATCTCAATGAGAAATTCTTAATTTGTTTAATTTCCTCCAATATCTCATTTCCGACATCTAAACTGAAAATTTCTGATTATTTCTCAATTTAATAGTCGTATATGAGTGTGGGAGGGTACCAAACAAATCGGCTATCATATATATTAGTGATTACAATTTGTTTGGTTTCCTCCAACATCTCATCTCCGACTCCTAAAGTTTACTCCAACACCTTAAGCTCTTGATAAATCCTAAACTCCGTTGTTAGTCTCTCTGGTGTTCAACTGTTGCCTCAGGCTTCTAATGCTTTTTTCGGTTTGTTTTGTTTTTGTGAGATTACTCTTTAGCTGGATCAGTTTCTTTTTCTGGAATTAAAAAAAAAGTTGAAAATTCGCTGATGGAATTACAGGCTTCAACTAAGAACACTTGCAAAAACATTTCCTCTGATTTATGAAAGAGAAAGGAAACTGGTTCAGCCAAGAATAATTGCGAAGGCAGAACAAATTGAAAAAACACAGCAAGCCTCAGACCACAGCTGAACCTCAGGGAGAGAGATAAACAACATACTTGAAAATCCATCACCCTCACGAGATCAAAGCAAACTCTACACAGAATTTGGGTCCCCAACAATCGATGGTCAATAAAACCATTGAAGCCTGTATAAATTTTTTGAAGAATTTTATAACACAACACAACAAAATTTTTAGAGATTGTTGACATGGAGGATTCACAACACAACACTGTAAAATTGTTATAAAAAAAACCAGAGTCTAGCCGACCGGCTGTACTATATACATATTTTTTTTTCCAAAGGACCCGCCTAGCTATTAGGTGTCCACGTGTCAAAAATAGTATCGCCGCCCGGCTATACTATTTATTAAAAAGAAGGGTTTAGCCGACCGGCTATACTATATTTTCAAATAAACATTTACAAAATAAAGTTTAGCCGGCCGGGTATACTATTTTTAAAACAATTTAAAAACCGACGTATAGCCGCGCGGCTATACGATTTTTTAAAAAGACGCGTTCAAAACCGTATAGCCGCTTGGCTACACTCCTTTTTTTTTAAAAGGAGAGTGTAACCGCTCGGCTATACGATATTTTAAAATAAATATTTACAAAACCAAGTATAGCCGACTGGCTATGCTATTTTAAAAAAATAGGAAAACCCAGGTATAGCCGCGCGGCTATACTATCACCCATCTTACGTTCAAAATTTTAAAGACAAATATCCCATTGTAAAATAACTTCTGGTTGCCATCAAGCTTGCCAATGTGCCCATCAAGTCTCTTCTCCTCATTTGTGACTCCAAATCTGAAATCGCGAATCAAGTCAATCTGCCCAAGTAGCTAATCAACCATTTGCTTTGAATCCTCAAACAGTAGATGATGAAATAGTTTGTTTTAGAAGATTATATGGATTATGTTAGGGACGAAAGGCAAATCCCATGACACTAATCAGTGGAGAGACAACACAAAACCTTTGATTAAAGAATATAAGGATTTGCAGAGAAATAAGAAAAGAGCACCTAAACCTAATAAAGAGAAGCATTAATATCCAATGGACATCCACTTTTTTTATTCACAACAAAATTAAATTAAATTAAAAACGGATTAAGATAATGATAATGGAGAGCACATCTGCATCATATATATCGATCAAGATTTCACATGCATGAACATGTAAATAGCACAAGTATCATACAGAAATGCACATAATATGATTATGATGAAATTATCTTTTATCATATCCACATTCATTTTTTACCACCAAGCATGATATTGAATTAAAATAATCCAATCTCACTACTTATCCTACCCATCAAACAAGGCCTATGAACTGTTGACACTCACAACATTAAAAATCAGCTGAAACCTCGAGAAAATGCTTCTCAAAGTCGTCTTGGTAAATAGAAGAACCCAAATCCATTAACAATTTGATAATATTTCTCATCAAGCCTCTGTCAATTACTTCGTCACTCCTTTATCTATGCACAAGCTCAACAAGTGTATCCAAAAGCCTAGCCTGAGTTTCCTCCACGGGTTCAACCCAAGCAATATGAAACAAGGGGTTTTGTGAATAACAATATTTCCAAGGGCAATAATGGTAATTCAGATACCAACTGAACTAAAACAACAGGAAATTATGTTCAATTTTGGTTTTTTATAGAATTGATTTGCACCTCACAGCCTCAGGCCTTTTAATTAGGACGAAGACAATCCCTCCATGCCCCAATAGATCCCCATAAATTTCAAGTCAGCCCAAAACTACCCCACAGGGTTTTACCGAGTCTTATAATTTGTTTTAATTTGTTGTCTCTGAGATTTAGGTTACATTATACGTATATTATACCGTACGTACATAGTCTATTATATCTGTACTGTCCGTACTATCATGCAAATTTTGCTTCCTGGAAGGCACCAATGCATGAATGAAACATGTTCGGTCTTCTGCCTCTTCTTCTTCTCTCATTGAGATGTGACTCGTGAGCATATGCTATTATTATAAAGGGAGATTTACTAATATACCCAATATGAATGCCCAAATTATAAAAATACCCCATATGAAATGAACTTTATAAACACACCCAAAACCCATTTACAACATAACAAAAAAGCTTTAACTTCTTATAAATTACAAAACTACCATAAATTTCTTAAAACAAGCCCAACCCCAAAATCTCATAAAAATACCCAAAACACTCAATAGGGCATTAAAGTAATTTAATAATCAATATTAAATTCAATAAGGCCAGTTGTCATTTTTTGGGTTTTTTTTGGGGTTTGTTTATAGAAATTCAATGATTGAGGGTTTATCTATAATATTAGTGCTAAGAATGGGTATATCACTAAATATCTCTATTATAAATACATGGTTGCTCTTCAGTCTTCAACACCACTTCCCACAAAAGCATGCACTTACTCAAATGAAAGAGGCTGTAGATGAGAGTTGCAGGAAGCTGAACCTATTCATTGTATTCAAAGCCCAAAACCCTTCACCCCTTTAGCATATGGCTCTCTCAAATCTCTCCAACACTCCATTGCTCTGTTTAAAAGTCGTATGTGAGAATTGGAGGGGACTAAACAAATTACAACATCTCTATCTCAATGAGAAACTCCTAATTTGTTTAGTTTCCTCCAATATCTCATCTCCGACATCTAAACTAAAAATTCTTCTCGGTTATTACTCCATTTAAATGCCGTAAGTGAGAGTTGGAGGAAACTAAACAAATTAAACTCTCAATCTCAATGAGAAATTCTTAATTTGTTTAATTTCCTCCAATATCTTATTTCCAACATCTAAACTGAAAATTACTGGTTATTTCTCAATTTAATAGTCGTATATGAGTGTTGGAGGGTACTAAACAAATCGGCATCATATTAGTGACTACAATTTGTTTGGTTTCCTCCAACATCTCATGTCCGACTCCTGAAGTTTACTCCCCCACGTTAAGCTCTTGACAAATCCTAAACTCCGGTTTTCGTCTCTCTGGTGTTCAACTGTTGTCTCAGGCTTCTAATGCTTTTTTCAGTTTGTTCAGTTTTTGCTGAGATTATTCTTTAGTTGGATCAGTTTCTTTTTCGGGAATGAAATAAAAAATAAAAAATTCTTTGGTGGAATTACCAGGCTTCAACTAAGAATACTTGCAAAAAGATCTATTCTGATTTCTGAAAGAGAAATGAAACTGGTTCAGCTAACAATAATTGCAACATATTTGAAAACCCTCACCCTCACGAGATCAAAGCTGAACCCCTGGGAGAGAGACAAACAACATATTTGAAAACCCTCACCCTCACGAGATCAAAGCAAACTCTACACACAATTTTGGGTCCCCAAGAATCTTTGGTCGACAAAGGAATTGAAGAAAGTGGTATTGACATTATAACATAGGGAAAAATGAAGCCTGTACAAAAATTGGAAAGAATTACATACTGTTGACATGGAGGATTCACAACATTGTTAAATACTTGCCTTGCTTTGGATGGATCCTTCAAACTGTTTTACTTTGTCAATTAATCGAAGTAGGATTTCACATAACGAAATTGGAATTAGGAAGAAAAAGTTTTCCACCTGGTTATAGCGATGAATAGTCTCCATCTGCGAGTTCATTTTTTCTCTGGTTTGTTTTAGAAGGCGACTACCTAACTTGGGCTGACAACGAAGGCTCTGTTACCCAGCATCAGGCATGAAACGGTATTCTCCATGAAAGATTATATCAAAGATTTCACATGCACTTAGTTAACACGAACGTGTATCATAGAGAATTCAAAGCTGCACGAGCTAAGCTTAAAACAAACCTTTGAGGCTAACCCAAACATGCCACAAGAGCTGTGAGACGAAGCCATGGCAATAATTTTCACAAACCCAGCACTGGATGAGGGCAAATGGTATACTAGTGATCAAAATTAGATAGGAGGCAGAATATGATTACTTCCTATGATTTCCGCATTTCCATCCATCCGACTCAGAAAAGTTTAATAAACATGAGGGGAGATTAAGCAACAAAGAGGCATTAATTGAACTTCATTCGAATCCACCCAGAGCCCGTAATGATCAAAGAACAACATTCCAACTAACCAAATGTAGGATAAATCATACAGGCTTGTGCCATAAGCAGCCATAACAAAATAAATCAAAACATACTGTTTCTTCAAGCAAGGTACCTGTACAATTTTCTATCTGTTTTATCCCTCTCCAAAAACTCCCGCTCAATGAGGGACTCGATTCGTTTCTTTATTACAACAGGGTTGGGCAAGAATCGCGCCTGCAGCTGTTTCGTGACCTCAGCAACGATATTATTGTGATCCAGTACCCGCCTTGACTTCATGATCCTCACAATTGCTGCCTCAATCTGGGGCTTCCTGTCTTCCTCTACTCTCTGCCTGGTTTCTTGATTTTCTGGTTCAGACTCCCTTTGCGCAACCACAGTACCTATCTTTACCTTGAAGAACTTGCTTGTGAACTTGTCATTAAAGAAGAAGGCATCGTCCTCAGCTATGTCCTTGCTCATTGGCTCCTTCCGAAGAACATTCTTCCCTTTAACACAGGCCAGAGATTGCAGACACCTCTTCAAGTCAGAGGCTGGAATCTCCGTAGCCTGCTCAATTTCCTTATAGGTCAACCGGTCAGTGTTGTTGAATAGCATCAGCACGCACATCTGGTATGTGGAAACATTCAGCTCATGCTTCTGGCCCTTTCCAAAAGTCGTTTTCAAGTCAGCTGTACCCATATTTGTTTGCCAGGACAATCTCCGCCCAGTATGGGTCCCGAGATAATAACTCTTGAACTTCTCACATACCCACAAAATTTCTGCTGGAAGGTTGCATGTGGCACTTGGCTGAGTAGGCCAGGAACCTGTTGTGAGGACCTGAACAGCTAGTGTTGGGCTATCACCTAACTGATGTCCAACGGCTGAGTAGAATCCATGCATTGTATCCTGAGAGGTCTTCATATCAGTGAACATACCCTCCAATTTTGAAGTGAATTGATATCCACACTCTGTTTTGAGCTTAACAATAAGACTTCTTTCTGCATCATCAGAAACAGTTTTCCCAGAAAGAAGCCTCTTTGCCAAGTGTTGTTTGTAATACTTTTCAAACACATCTTTCTCTTGAAGGTAACGGAAAAGCATCATGACCTTGTCCAGTACAACTTCTACATCCTCCTCACTGACCCCTCTTAATCCTTTCCGAAGTTTGTCATCCACAAACAGAGAAATGAATTCAGGGGACCTGGCATTCAAATTAATGAAGTATTCAAAAGAAGAATTTAGAGCATTCTGGAATGTCTTGTCATTGTTAAATGCCAAATTGATAACTTTGTCATATTTGTCCTTCAAATCCAGGAGACGCTGCACGAAATCTACAGGATCCCTTAATCTTTCTGGGTCAGTAACTAGCTGTTTGCCAGTATCCCGGATGTAAGCAGTCATGACATCTCTGACTATCACAAGTCCGTTCTGCACCCTGCGAAACAAGCTATACATTCTTCCCAAGTCATCATATTTGTCATCCACAAGCATATTAACTAAACCTGAGCTCTCCATATGAACTAGTCTGTTCATGTGACTTTCGATCATCTCTTTTTCCACCACATTTGTTATCTTAGCTTCACTTCTAGCATCCAAGTAATGGGAGACTCTCTCCATTTCTTCCATTAAGCGTCTCTCAGCCTTCTTTAAATAGTTCCCACAGTCACATGACTCTATGAACTCTTGGGACTCACAACGGTAAAAATCAGCTGAAACCTCAAGAAAATGCTTCTCAAAGTCGTCTTGGTAAACAGAAGAACCCAAATCCATTAACATTTTTATAATATTCCTCATCAAGCCTCTGTTAATTACTTCGCCACTCCTTTCTCTATGCACAAGCTCAAGAAGTGTATCCAAAAGCCTAGCCTGGGTTTTGCTAGAGTGAATTACCACATCCCTCCACAGGTTCAACCCAAGCTCATGAACGGGGGTTTTGTGGGTGCTTGGGATAAAAGTCCTGTCCATGTACATCAATATGTCTCGAATCATCTGCAATGCCTTGTTATGATCTGCCCATTTCCTGTTCAGCTCTTCCAAAAACAACTCTCCCTGAGCAGCTTCAATTGATTTAGATATTTCTTTTAGATGATAAGTCATGGTTGTCACCAGACCAGAGTAGAGTTTCTCTCCAAATTTGTGCAGCACCATATTGTAGGCATTCCTGAATGTATGCAAATATTCTTAAACATCAGAAGCATAAAGTTTCCAGATGTGAAAGAAACAGTCTTGCACTGATGAGATATAACCAATTGAAAATGTTACTTATTCTAACTTTTTCTACCCACTTTTTTTCCCCAACCTATGTGACCCAAAGTATGCACACAACATCAAAGCATGCACCCAAAGTATGCACAGGATCATTCTAGAATCATGAAATACAAAACCCTTTGTGACAACAAAAAACAGAAAGGAAAAGCAGAAAAATGATAGGGAACTCACCCAAGTCAAAAAAAGGAGCAAAATTAAAGTGCAGAAAGTAAAATGCGTAACAGATAACCATCAAATGAACAAGAAGGAAATAGAAGAGAGAATAGTAACATTCTCAATCATGAATGAGCACAAATTGTAGAATAGAACAGATATCCTAAACCCCTCATGATCAACTGCAAAGATATCCTAGAAACCTTGTGACCAACTGTAAAGAATCGATATCCTAGAAACCTCATAATTGAACTTTGGAACCAAATAAGCCTACACTCTCCAAGATATTCCAACTCTTTAGACAACCTAGAACCATGCACTGTCCTACCATAAAAACCGACACTAAGCTCTCACCCTATCAACATGCAAGAAGACCATAAGGCCATCAGTTAGACTTAAATCAATATATAATCTGAAAATGGATCAGCGAAAATAAAACAGATGAAAAAGCAATTTTGCACCCGGAAAGTAACTTAAGAGTAAGGGGATCAGACTGACACGAGTTACTGAAAACAGAGCCATCAAAATCTATTAATGCTCAGAAATAAAGTTATCCAACCATTTCCAACAGACTCAAACAAAAAGTGACATTCGAATCAGTATCATCAATACTTCAATACCCAAAAATAGATCATACATACATATGCTAGGTGCAAGCAAAAGTCACAAACCTATAAAGCTCTTCGAAGCTAAGCCCGCTAGCATTGTGATTGTAAATTTCGTGAATCGCATGCTCAAGGATCTTCCAGGTCTTCTCTGCGTACTTGGGATCAACCACGACCCGATGCTTAAAGGCCTCAATTTGGAAGTTCCTCTTCTTCTGAGCACTCATTTCACAAATTTAACTTATCGCAGGCCCTAAATACTCGATAAAACCGATCCTCGGTTTGAATCGAACCTGAAAGAAGCTTCGCAAACCCTCAATCCAAAACCAAAAAACCCGATTGAGATTGAATGGTTTGGGTTCGGTGAGAAAACCCTAGCGGTTGACCCGAATTTAGAATACGATTGAACAAAATTAGAGCAGGAGAAAAGGGTTTTGGAGTCCAAGGGGGTTTGAGATGAAGAAATATAATAAAATTAGGGTTTCGGAATGAAAAGGGGGATGAATCAGTGGAAATAAAGCATAAATTGGGGATGATGATACCGGAGAGGAAAAGAGAGAGAGATAAGAGAGAGAAAATGACGAATTAAAATATTGCACTTCTAATAAGTTGTTTCATTATTTCATCTTTCTTTCTTTTTCTTCAGTACAACAACTCTTTTCTCCTTGACCCAAAAAAAAACAAAACAAAACTATTTTCTCGTCTTTAGGTCTCTTTTGATTTGAAAGCAAGCACACTGAGAGAGGGAGAGAGAGAAATATAAAGACCATTCAACCCCACTTCCCCTTCAGTCTAACCCTGCAAATGGATGGGCTCTTTTGAGAATCCAACTCTAGTAACGTGTACATGTGGGTCGCCGCCGCTCCCTCGCCTCACCCACAGGAGCTAAAAACCTCCCTCTTAAAACACTATTTATCCTTGTATTTTGTAAACGTATAGTTTCCATTTGGATTTTTAGTTTACTTTTTGGTTTACATCACAATCACAAGAAAACACTACCACCAATTAACTAACAGCGAATATGTAAATATATTCATACACAAATTATACACATTTTACCTAATTTCTTTACAAGGCAGAAGAAAATAATGAGAATAACAAGTAGAGAGCTAGAAGAAAAACACGAGTAGAGGAGTAGAGCATTTGCTATGGAGACAAAAGATGAGATAGCTTATATTGGGTCAGTTTGGATGAGGAAAAATAACTCGAAATTTAACTTAAAGTAGGGAATTTAAGAGGAAAAATTGACAATTCCCTTATTTGGTAACTTAAGTACGGAATTAATTAAATGACATGAGGAAAAAATCGTGGAAATTTAGGCATCAAATTCCCGAGTTTAATTTCCACTAAAACATGCATCATTTCACAATTCTCACAGTGCCATTTACAAAACTTGACATACATAAATTCAAACACTGAAATTTTCAATTGCCTTAAATGATCTAAATTCCATCATTTTAGAATTATATGTAATTTTCAATTCCTTCATTCAAACACATGGTTAGGGAATTTATAGCTATATATGAAGAAGATTGTTTATCAAGAAGTATTTTTTCCATTAAATAGTTGGAGTCTATTCTAATATTTTTGTTAGTCACTCCCAAAGTAACATCATTGTCACTCATGCCCAACTGCAACCCAAGTCTCAACCCTTATTTTGTCATGTCTAGGAGGCATTTTATCGAGTAGTTTGATTCCATTTAGCAAGAGTTAGTGGAGACAAGTGCTTTTACTTGCACCTTAATAGATCTACCCATACGAGCTCCCATTGTAAGAAAATAATCGATAATTAAACATTTCAAGAAACATGATTGTGATTTTGATAACAAAGAGAATATGTATAATACCATATGGCGTGTTAGTTTCACGTAAGTATGTCAACAATATAACATGTTGATAATTATTATTTTTTTGTCATAAACATGTCGATCTATCCTAATCAAACATCATTATACGATTTTGTTGGGACCACCATAGCTCAACAACTATATCAATAATATTTTAGTGGTAGTATATAGATGAGATAGTAGCATTTCACCACCCTTATATATGCATCCCTACAAATGATAACTTTCCAATTATCTTGGCAAGAAAAATATAATTAATACCCAAAACTAAATCACAAATCAAACAATTTTTTTATTTATAAATTTGTAAGAATTAGTATTTACAAACCTTTTTTTTTTAAATTATTCACAATGATTAAATATTCTTGTGGGTGGCTGGACATTGCTTGACTCTGTTGGACCCGAAGTCCAGAAGAGGCAGGCGGCCCAACATTAATTGTTTATGACTGAAATGGGCAAAGTCCAATCAAAGGCAAGCGCCTTCCACATCGAAGCCCAGCTTGGACAGAGTGGCAAACTTGTCATTTCGGCCGTGTGAGTAGGGTTTAGCCATTTTAGGGTTTGCATATAAATCAAAACATTGTCCCATTTGTTTCGCCCTCTCTTATCACTGCTCGGCAGCTCGCTCTCTCTCTACGATCTTTTCTGGATCTGACCTAAGGCTAACCAGCCATGGTGCACGTTAGCTTCTACCGCAACTGTAAGGCTCTCACTTCTCTCTGCATCTCATATGTATGGACCAATTAGGGTTTTGAACGAGATGTTTAGCTGTGTTTGTAATTTGATTACTTTCTCTGCGAAGGAATTTGAGTTGATTTATTTTGTTATTGCAATCGGAAGCTGTTTTGATCGGTGCCTTTTGATTTTGCCCAGTTGAGTTTCCCATTGTTTAAAAATCACCATTAAGCTTTTGCTTTCGACCAAAAGAGTATATTTCAATCCTCTTAAATAAATTATGTTTTAGTTATTTATGCTAGATCTGATTCACAGTTTTGTTATCGACTACTGACTGTGAAGCTTTGTCTGTTGGAAGAGTAAAAGGCGTAAAATCAGTGTATATGAAATGTCTTAGGTGGGTGCTTAAAAGTATACTGTCTTTAATGATGAAATGGATTTGGGTGAAATTTGTTTGTTAATCTTCCTAATGATAATCCATTTCCGTGTTGTTTCCTATAATCTGAGAATCGGTATATGTTTGAGTACAAAAAAGAAAGTTGCAGATTAAGATTTTGTTCTTGCCAATAATTATTATTCATGAGTGATAATGAGAAACCTAAAGAATGTTTCAAATTAGGATATTGTTCTTGCCAATATTTGTGATTAATGAATGATATTGTGTCTAAGAAAGTTTTTATATTATAATGGGTGATTTCAGACGGGAAGACTTTCAAGAAGCCACGACGTCCTTATGAGAAGGAGCGTCTGGATGCTGAGTTGAAGCTTGTTGGAGAATATGGGCTTCGATGCAAGAGGGAGTTGTGGAGAGTTCAGTATGCTTTGAGCCGTATCAGAAATGCTGCTAGGGAACTTCTTACTCTGGATGAGAAGAGTCCTCGTCGTATCTTTGAGGGTGAGGCCCTTCTTCGCAGGATGAACAGGTATGGGCTTCTGGAAGAGACCCAAAACAAGCTCGATTATGTTTTGGCATTGACTGTGGAGAACTTTTTGGAGCGTCGGCTTCAAACCCTTGTGTTCAAGACTGGTATGGCTAAGTCCATCCACCATGCTAGGGTGCTTATCAGGCAAAGGCACATCAGGTATAAACCTCATTTTCCTGGAAAGCTTCTGTAATCTTCTCATTTTGTGTGTTTCTGGTTTTGTTCTCTATATATAGAAGCAGCTGTTAACTGGGCTGATAAAGTGACTGACTGTGTACTGAATGACCTGTTTTTTGGGTTCCTAATGATGCCTTAATGTGTTATGAATGACTAACAATTATTCTTCTATCGGTTTAGGAGTGCATTGTATTGATCACATGTACTTTTTGAAATAGAATAGTACATTTGAATAGATCTTGGGAGCATAAACTCTTGTTGCGATTTCCAATCTGACATGTGTTCAAACTGTTGGATGCTTGCTGCATGATGCTAATTGAGGACCGTGTCTTACCAACCACAATATCTTGAGTAGCTTGTAGATTGATGTTTTTTTAACACTTATCTACGTTATTATCGGTGTGATTATTTGGGTTGACTTTGTCTGCTGTTGTTGGGACATGTTCAATGACTACGTTCTTGTTTGTTGAACCTACTTGTGTGATTAGTGATGTATTCTGTGTAACAAGTTTAATGTAGAATCTGGTGGTGTTAGTTGTTTAATTCACTTGTTTCATTTCCAGGGTTGGAAGGCAGGTTGTCAACATCCCATCTTTCATGGTGAGGGTTGACTCCCAGAAGCACATTGACTTCTCAATCACAAGTCCCCTCGGAGGTGGGCGCCCCGGAAGAGTGAAGAGAAGGAACCAGAAGGCAGCTGCCAAGAAGGCTGCAGGTGGTGGTGATGGAGACGAAGAAGATGAAGAGTGAAGTGGATGAGGCCTCAACTTAGATTGTGTTTTTATTTTATGCGCTCTTTATTTCATCGTTAGTTTCTTTTACTGACTTCACAGTCTGTATTGTAGTGGATGCTGGTAAACGTTTCCTGTTGTTTTATTGCGCCTAGAACTCAAATGTTTTGCTTTTAATACCTTAGTAATGAATTTTGTGGTGGTAACTTGAGAGATTTTTAAGTCCTGTTGGTTTTCATCTAATGTCGTGATCTTCCTTTTATTTTGGGGCTTAAAATTTCCATCTCAATTATTGGTACCATCATGTTGATGGAGCCCGCCTTGTAATTTTGGAGCTGTCTCTTTCTGGCTCGTGCAACCTTTCAAAATCAAATAGGATCACGGTTGTCACCAGAAAATCGACTTGGGTAAGGCTACAGACCACGTGTCTGCTATCTAATTTGGTCCTCCTAATGCAAATTACAAGTGCGACTCATCTTCACCACGTTTTGTCTTTAAATATTATATTAAAGATTTCTAGAGATCACGGATGTGGAATGTCTCGGTCGATCAGGCTGCTCCTCCTTTTAGACGACATGAGAAGAAAAGAGGAGCTTTAAAATCTTAGTGGCCATGCAGATTCCAGACGTAGAAGCTTTTAAATTTGACTCAACCCTCTTCAAATTCCATGCCACTTGTCCCAGAAATCCCCAACCAAGCCTAACACTTGGCTATAAATAAACCAAGTGCCACATGGAAACCACTTAACGCAATCAGAACAAGAATACAAGAACAACAACTACTAAATCAGATCCTAATTGAGGATAGCGACATATCCAATATCGTTCGTACAAATTACCCTCCGGACTTAATTAAATTTAGTGATTAATCACCCTAGTTCTAGTGACGTGGCAAGCACCCAGTGAAGGGCAAGGGAAACCAAGTTTCCTAATCGGTTTCCTTACAAAACGGGAACGGCCTCGTCCTCCTCATACAGATGATGACCACTCTGAAAGAGGCCGTTAGAGCTGTCTCCAAGTCGGAGTTTATACTAACCATGTGATACCCTCATTTCTCTCCACCATTCTTTACACGTGTCGCCCCCTCATATGTTTCCCTCCTTCACGTAACCAGTCCCTGCTCGCAATAAAAACTCAGATCCCCAACCAGAGCTCTCGCCACTGCCCAAACCGCACCGTATTGCTCAAACCAAATCCAAACATGATGACACTGCACCCAAACCAGAAGGAGAACGACGACCATCGGGAGATGACGGAGGAGGTTCAGCGGAGCTTGCTTTTCGTGTCGAAGTCCAAGGCGTGTACGGAGCAGGAGGAGATGGAGCAGGACAGCGCGGGATCGTCGGAGGAGATGGAGTCGCCGAGGTCGGTTGGGCGATGGAGGCGGAGGGCGAAGAGGGCGGGCTGCGTGCATAGCCAGATCTTGAGAATTAGGGAGGAGGACGCGCATCTCGGCGAGAGTACCAGTTTTCGGCGCCAAAGATAATCATCATAAGGTTGCTCATGCCGTGGCTTCCGGCATGGACGTTGTGCTCTTCGCCCGGCCCATCTTGCCTTGCTCGCCCCTCAAGAACTCCGTCAACGCTTTCCACTAAAAACTCTCTATATTGTTCAGGTATTCTCCTTCTTTCGAGAGAATGATTGATTACTTTATTTTGTTACGGAGAATTCTTGATGATTTCGTTTTTCTTGTAAATCAAAGAAAATTGTTCTTGAATTGTTAATCGTATTGGGATTTTGATTTTGGAAATACATGATTCAAAGGACGGTTGGAGTTTTTTTTACAGATGAAACTTGGATGTGAGCTTAAGAATTTCCAACTTGTTTTGAGTCCAAGAAATTCCTCCAATCGACCTTGTTTTTTCCTTGTACTTTCTCAGCATCCAAACGACCTTTTCAAACTTTTCTGTTTATATCTCAATTTCTTTGACTTTATTTTCTATATTCTCTTTCCCTCCATTTGTCTCTAATATTCGCGCGAAAGTTTAATCACCTCTTTTCTTCCTTCCTCCTTTTGAAAGAGAATTTTAACTGGAACTTTACACCTCGCTGAAGTTTTTGAATGGGTGATGATTTTGATCGTTGGGCTGTCAAAGATATAGGCTTAGCCCAGATTTTTATTTGGACCTTAATGGGCTTTAAGCAAACGTTTTATTTCTCAGTTTATATCTCAATGGGCTTTCTTGTTGCTCTTTAGGAAGAAGCAGAGACCCAGCAGCAATGAAGATGGAAATCCCAAGAAGACGAAGGAAGAAGAGTTCGGAGAATTGAGTTTCCATCTTTCTTTTTGTCTTCTGTTTTTTTTTTTTTTTTTTTTTTTGTGTGTTTTCTGGTAGGGTTAAGTGTAGTCGTTTGATCTACAAACGTTGCTGTACAGTTAACAAAATACATGAGATGATGATGATGTGAGAAAATCATGTCGCCCCTTTCCCGGGAAACAAACAGACAAACTCAGTCCAAAATGATTGCAAACATGGGAAATAAAAGAAATCATCCATCAATTAAACCTAAATTCAAATCATACAGGCTAGCTGATTGTAAAAGTTGCAACAGACCAATAAGTCCATTGGCAAGCAAAACCCAACAACAGCTTTGGAGATAAAAAGAAAATTAACTGTCTAATTCTAATACTCGTCATTTTCATCATCTTCACCTTCAGCAGACTCAAGCCCAACTTCCTCATAATCCTTCTCAAGAGCAGCCAAGTCCTCCCTGGCCTCCGAAAACTCCCCTTCCTCCATTCCCTCCCCAACATACCAATGCACAAACGCCCGCTTCGCGTACATCAAATCGAACTTGTGATCGATCCTCGAAAACACCTCAGCCACACTGGTGGAGTTGGAAATCATGCACACAGCTCTCTGCACCTTGGCCAAGTCTCCCCCAGGAACAACAGTAGGAGGCTGGTAGTTGATGCCACACTTGAACCCAGTTGGGCACCAGTCCACAAACTGGATGGTCCTCTTGGTCTTGATTGTGGCCACAGCAGCATTCACATCCTTTGGAACCACATCTCCTCTGTACATCAAGCAGCAGGCCATGTATTTCCCGTGTCTTGGGTCACATTTCGCCATCATAGAAGCCGGCTCGAAGGCGCTGTTGGTGATTTCCGCCACGGAGAGTTGCTCGTGGTAGGCCTTCTCGGCTGAGATGACCGGTGCATAAGAGGAGAGCATGAAATGGATTCTTGGGTAGGGAACCAAATTGGTCTGGAACTCTGTCACATCCACATTGAGAGCCCCATCAAAACGCAGAGAAGCAGTGAGTGAGGAAATAACCTGCACCAGCAAAACCCAAATTCCTCAATCTATTTGCAAGAAACTCATAATAAAAAATATCAAACACTTTCAGTTTTGATACCTGAGAAACAAGCCTGTTGAGGTTGGTGTAAGTGGGTCTCTCAATGTCAAGCGATCTACGGCAGATATCGTAGATGGCTTCGTTGTCGAGAAGGACAGCCACATCGGTGTGCTCCAAGAGGGAGTGAGTGGACAAGACGCTGTTGTAAGGCTCAACAACAGAGGTTGAGACCTGAGGAGATGGGTAAACTGTGAACCCAAGCTTTGATTTTTTGCCATAATCAACAGAGAGCCTTTCCAAGAGCAGAGAACCAAGACCAGACCCAGTCCCGCCTCCAACAGCGTGAAACACCAGAAACCCTTGAAGCCCAGTACAGTTATCTGCAAGCTTCCTGATTCGGTCAAGGCAGAGATCCACAATCTCCTTCCCAACTGTTCAGATGACAAATTGGCACCATAATTTGTCAAATTTTCATACATTAATTTAGAAGGATTGAAATTGAAAAATTGAAACTGGGATTTGGTTGAAGATTGTTACTTGTGTAGTGGCCTCTGGCGAAGTTGTTCGCAGCGTCTTCTTTGCCACTGATGAGTTGCTCTGGGTGGAACAGTTGACGGTAAGTTCCGGTCCTCACCTCATCAATGACGGTGGGCTCAAGGTCAAGGAACACGGCGCGGGGAACGTGCTTTCCGGCCCCGGTTTCACTGAAGAAAGTGTTGAAGGCATCGTCTCCGCCGCCCACAGTTTTGTCACTTGGCATTTGGCCATCAGGCTGCAAACAAAAAGAAGCCCAAAAAATTAATTAAGACAAGGAAATGAACAAACCCAGAAAAGCAAGGGAGGTTGAAATGAGAAAAAAAGACGGACCTGAATGCCGTGTTCAAGGCAGTATAGCTCCCAGCAGGCGTTACCCACTTGGATCCCAGCCTGACCGATGTGGATTGAAATGCACTCTCTCATTTTCGCTCTGGTTTTGGTTTCTTGTCTGTGAGAAAAGGAAGGACCCTAAGACGTATACAAAGACGTCTGGGCTGAACAGAGCAAGTGTTGCAGAGAATGAGAGGGAGTCCGAATTTTGAGAATTTTGAAAATGCGAAAGGGAAAGTGGGTTGAGAATATATAACGCCAATAATGCCAAGGAATTCGGGTTTTTTTTTTTTCAAATAAAAAAATCAAAAACCAGAAAAAAACAAGTGGGGGTTTCCAGCTACATGTGTCCGTTCCTTCTCGTCAGTTGGGTTTGAATTTGAAATTTGAATTCTGAAGCGCCAGGATCAACTAGCTCTATTGGACTTGGGCTTACCTATTCAAGCATTCAACTTTCAATATCAAGTCTCTTGGTCTATTTGGGTTTTGGACTGGCCCTTTTACCCATTTTATATCGAAGCCGAATATGGACACCAAAAATGGGCTCAGCTTGTGATGGATTTGAAACCCAAAACCAGTTCAGGTTCCATCCAGTTTATACTGTACAATTTCGGGTAATATGTTGGTCCGATCGGTACCAGTACTCGAACTTAAGACCTCCTGATCTTTCGATTACATCACAAAGCCAATAAATTTAAAAAATCAGCATTTATAGTGTAATTTGGTTGATAATTTGCACATTTTAAACTTTAATATTTTAAAGAATGCAATCCAAATCCCATAGCATGAGATTTCATCCTCACTAGGCTAATTGTAGCTTGCTTTTTCTTGGATTCTCTCCCCTAAAAACCGAAGACTGAAATGGGCTTCAACTGAGATACACATGACAGAGAGCATCATTAAGAAGATGGAAAATTTAAAAAATGTAGTGTAATGTATAGCCCTCCCTCCTAGGCTTAGCCTGTATTTACTTTGCGGCCTAATGACCATTCATCACCACCACAACTAATAATCATTAAGACTTTGTGAAAAGTAAGTAACATTATTGGATGCCATTGATTCATTCTCTTTTTCCTTATTGGGTCCATTAAGAGCTATGATGCACATGCTTTGTTTACTCCCTAACAGTTGTATATGTACTTTACAGACATCCTGGAGCATAAACCATGCTCACAAACTTTACAGAAAGTTTTTGAGCCCATGCCTGTGTTCTTCTGTTTCCAGCTGTGAGTGTACAACTACAAATACAATACTTGGAAAATATACCACAATCGAAATAATGGGTGCCTAAAGTAGAAGACCGATGACATGTTTACTTACTCGGTATGAGGAAAATCATGAATTGAAGACAATATCAATTGAGTGGTGATTTCCCCACTCTTTTTTCTCCTATTTCTCATATTTTATTCATTTACACTCATTTTTTATAACTAAAAAAGGAGTGTAAGTGGATAAAATAGGAGTGGGGAAATCATTGCCCTATCAATTACTCTGGAAATCAATCTCATTCTTAATTGTTCGGGTATTCGATTACGGATTTCAACGTGAATACCGTTTCCATCTTGGTTTGGTTAATAACTCTATTTGGTCCACTGCATTTATTTGATTTTCCATTTCCCCCAAGAAGAAAGTAGAGGGATAGTGCATTTTTCCATACCAAAGCTTCCAAACGGATAGGGTTTGGACTGTTGGATTGAGTTGTCAATCTCATGAGTCTTGACCAGTCCTTATCTCTAAAAATTGCCTAATTTTTATTTTGTGTTTGAATCATTATTCGCAGTTGAACAAATAGAGTCAGAATAAGTAAGATTGTGAAAGTTAAGGGTCCCCAGAGTGTGGGTGCAGAGCAGATGAGATTTTGGCTGTGCGGGCAGGAAGACTGGCTTAATGGACCACTTCAATCTTTTTTTCCATGATTTTCAGGAACTCATTTGAGTTTGACTATTAAAAATCTTCATCAACAACAGTCTGTCTGTATTTCTTCCTCTGCTTTCATGATTTAAGATAGCCTTTTGAAACACAAAGCTGTCTTTGAACAAGAATGATTCAATAAAAATTCAACGGCTCATGTAAATTCAACCCATTTTTAATTTCTCAAAAAATATAAAGCAAAAGACAGAGAATGGTGAAACATTCAAAATACCAAAAAATGTCATTGATTAATCCAAATATTAGAAATTAAAATTATTAATTAAACGATGATAATATGATAAATTCACACTTTTTTCATATTAAAAAAATTAAAATTAAAAGCAAAATCAAGAAATGATCATATTTTTATAAAACACCAATTACCCATTATCTGTTTTTAATTCAAATTTTTTTTTTTTTTTTTTAACTTCTCACAAGCGTGGAAGCACGTGTGAAAATGCTAATTTCTCATAAAACATATCTCTGCTCATGTAATGCTTAACCCTGTTCAATACTTAATGAAAGCACGGACTCCAAATGTGGTCCAGCTTAGACTCTTGCTTCCAGATTGTGGTCCTTAATCTCTCTCTTCCTAGCAGCTTCAACTTTTGCATGCTGGCCAGGATATTTAAATTCAAGAAAAATCAGCTGATTATTACTCGGGATATTTTCTATTGAAAGGGACAATAATATACTAAACTTATTGATGTTAAAACTCGAATCTATGACTTTGCTTGGAGAAGCAATTACTCCAAACAACTACACTAATGAATCATTTACATTGCTCGTCATTTATTAATATGCTAGAGAGAAGTGTTTAATATAAGCTAAACCCTAAATTTTAGAAGCATATCACATGCTTTATATACTAAGCTAGTGTTAGCAAAACATAAACTAGGACAAGAGTAGTTCACCAAAACGGATCTAATGTCCCCAAAAGGAGCTACAATGCGACCAAAGCCACTTCAACTCCTAGCAAATAAATCCTTTCGGCTTAGAAACACTTGGGGCTATGTTTTAGTTTTATATGGCTGCTTCCAACGCATTAGCCAAACCTTTGTTAGACCCATTGGGGGCTCAAAGGTGCACAAAATACACTTGAGTACTGTTAAATGAAATGACTAATTTGATCAAAACTTTTTGGAGCCCACCCAGTTTTTTTCTCTCTCTGAACTTTGATTTAAATTGAGAGCTTGGCTAATTAGATTGTTGGATATGTCGTTTCTTCTGAAGGATGACAAATCATATAATTTGTTAATATGAATAGGATGGTCTTTAGGACAATTCATTAAGCATTGTCCCTTTGTGATACTTCTTTCTAGTATGATATGATTAAGGTTGATGAATATGTTTCATATTTTGTATTGTAACTTGTGATTTGTCATCACTTGTTGGGTCAAGATCCTAGATTTCAGTTTGAGTAACAATAACTAGTGGTGTGCTAGGTTAAGGAGTTCAATCCAACCGTCCAATGTTAAGAGGTTCGTTGATGAGATGGTCATCTCATTATAGCATCTCACACGTTAGATATCAGATCGAGCCATATTTTTAGAAATGAAAATGTGTGTTGGGCTTGTTAAACAAATTGAAAAACTCGGCCCAAATTGTACCGTGAATTTTGGGTTGACACAAAAAGGAAAAAGAGTATGATTGCATCTCAGATGTGACTTTAGGCATATAAAATGCAGCAAATGTGACACTGATATTACAGATGATACTACTTGAGGTAATGGACAATGGAGATTTGTTAAAGAAGAAGCTGATGGTTCATCACTCACTCATAGCACCAAAAGTTTCACACTTTGATCATTTGGAGTCTTGGATTTGCCAACTCACCTACTCCTAACGTGGCAACCATCCCATTGTACCTTACTGCAGCAGACAAAATATATTTAGCTTTACTTATTTATTTATACAAGACCGCCAAATTAATCATGATTTTCAGAGGCCAAAATGATAATAGAATGCACAGAAAATGGGTCCGTGTTAATAATCTGTAATCTTTACTTTTAACAAATTATATCAGGGGGGTGCTTTTTCCTCTCTTTTGAGCATTCATAACTGGCTGCACATTACCTTTCAAAGGCATGTCTCCAATTTGCTTTTCTGCAATTCATCTACTCTCACCCAAGTTTTTAACTATTTTTCTTTCTTTTTTTGGATGAACCCAGAAACAAATTGCAAGATCAAGTTAATTAGACTTTCCTAATTTCTTTTTAAGACTGGATCGGAATATTATCTATTCCAGCAAATGTTCTTAGATTTCATACCCTTATGAGAAGGGGGAAAAATCCAGTAATTGAAAAGGACTTGAACATGAAGGGAGAATTGTTGGGACGTCTAAAGCATAGAAAAGGACGGCAAAGAGACGCATGCAATGTCAGTCAAAAGTATTTTCCAGCATCTTAAATCTATGATATTATCATTAATCTGACCAGAATTCCTTCTCTAATTTATCTAAAATGTCCTTTTTTATAATAGTTTTCTTAGATAATGAGAAAAACTCACATACATGACCTTAAAATGCCTCAAAGAGCGGAAAGATTTGTATGAAATATAAATTACACTGTTTTGTTATCATAAGTCAATCACAAACTATCACGTATAAAAATTATCACATATAACATACTATAATTAGGCAGAATAGCAAAACAATATTTCTCCTCAAAATGGACTGAGGTAGCAAAGTCTGACGAGCCACTGCTTAAGATACATTGCAAATGCCAAATATCTGTCAATTTTTTGATTGAAACAACTCATGTTTAGCACGATTCTTATTTTCTTTTGACATTTTGGAGAAAAAAAATATTGAAAAGTCTGAGATTAGAAATATAAAAAATATACATTTATTGTAGCAAGAAACGAGGCAACCCCAAGTTTCCAAGTAGGAGAGTAGGACACACAGTGCAACACTGTTAACCAGATTCCTCATCTTAACCTGGATCACCATCAAATACAGTAATTTCAAAACCGCAGTTAAATCCCACATATTCTAATACTATATAACAGAACCACCCATACACCTCTCTTTCTTCAAACTCATTTTCTCCACCTTCCTTTGACCATTTGTCCAACCAACCTACACACACACTCTCTTCTCTCTCTTTCTCTCTCTCTCTCGCACTGCTTTTCATTTTCTTTCCGGCAAACGAAGCTCTGTGGAGAGTCTCGGGCTGATCAACCAGAACGAAACGACATTGACAGTTCTTGAAGACAAAAAAGAGAGAAAACAAAAAAGGGCTCTTTAGATCTCTCATCTTAAATGTCCAGTTGACACTTCATAAGCTCTGCTCATATCTCTTCTGTAATTAAAGGCAATGAACCACCACTCACTTTAAAAGCTCGGTTCTTTGAGTCACTCTGCTCTGCCTTTTATCCTATCCCATTGGAAACGAAGCTGAGCTACAATGGCGGAGACCACGGAGGCAAAGACATTGCCCGAGGCAGATAAGAAGAAGGAGCAAAGCCTTCCCTTTTACCAGCTCTTCTCTTTCGCTGACAAGTATGATTGGCTTCTCATGATCTCCGGGAGCATAGGAGCAATCATTCATGGCTCATCCATGCCTGTCTTCTTCCTCTTGTTCGGTGAAATGGTTAATGGGTTTGGCAAAAACCAAATGGATTTGAAGAAAATGACCGCAGAAGTAGCAAAGGTTAGCAACCCAGTTGTTCATTTCTTACATTTTCCAAGATTTCATTGTGATTTCTCAGATCCCAGATCTGATTTCTTGTTGGTGATCTTGTTTCATTGCAGTATGCTCTGTACTTCGTTTACCTTGGTCTCATAGTATGCTTCTCATCCTATGCAGGTAAGACTTTAGCATCAAAATTTCACTTTTTTAAATCTTTTCTTTATGGGGTCCTTGCTGGTCTTTGGATCACACTTGTTGATCACATCGCACCGGTAATTGGTCGCTTTGCCCACGTGCACTGCTCCCCTGTTTTTTCTGATTAATTAGTCAAACTGCAGTCAACTTAACTGGTTGAATTCAAACAGTTTAAGATTTATTAATTTCTGTGTAATTTTGTTTGCAGAGATTGCATGCTGGATGTACACTGGGGAAAGGCAAGTGAGCACACTGAGGAAGAAGTATTTGGAGGCAGTGCTGAAACAAGACGTGGGTTTCTTTGATACAGATGCAAGAACTGGAGACATAGTCTTCAGTGTCTCAACGGACACCCTTTTGGTCCAAGATGCCATTAGCGAGAAGGTTTCCCGTTTTGCCATTAATACTACATCACTCTTTTTCCGCGTTCCTGTCTTCCCCCAATTTACCATTTTGGCTCTCTCTCTCTCTCTCTCTCTCTCTCTCTCTCTGTCTACTAACTGTTTTTGTGCTCATTTTTATTGTCCCATATGGAGCAAATCTAGTGTTGGGTAGTTTTCCTTTGGATGGTGGTGTTAAATTTTTAGCAAATGCTTATCTGGGTTACAGGGGTCGTTGGGCATGCATCATGGAGGGCCCCACCGCCGCTTCGTGCGTTTCTTAAAGCGCACGTTAGCCAACACTGGCTTAACGTGCGCGGCCCTCTATTATTATTCCTCGATGCATTTTTTCTGATTTTTGATTTTCCTTAAATGATGATTATGAAAGGTCATATCCAGTAGGTGTATGTTACGTTTTTTAATTACCAATTATCTTGAAGCCCTTAAATAATAATTCTGTGAATTTTGTTGTTGTTGTTGATTTTTGGGGGATTTTTGTTTTTTTAGGTGGGCAATTTCATACACTATCTTTCAACATTTCTGGCGGGGCTGGTGGTTGGTTTTGTATCAGCATGGAGGCTGGCGCTGCTGAGTGTGGCTGTGATTCCAGGGATTGCTTTTGCCGGGGGCTTATATGCCTATACACTCACCGGCCTCACCTCCAAGAGCCGCGAGTCATATGCAAATGCAGGGATTATGGCTGAGCAGGTGAGTTTTTCGTAGCCCAAGTTTGTGTCATTTTTTCTTTCCTTGCTAAAACCCAGTGTGATATCATGGTTTTATATGTGCAACAGAAAGTTGTTCGCTTTTTATTTTTCTTTCGAAGTGTCCTTTAAAACAACATAACTTAGAGTTTAGAGTAATTTATAGTATGATATTAGTTCTAAATGGTCTGTGTTATGACTCATGAGTAAGATAGTGTTGTGTGTGGCTCTAAAGTTGTTTCTCTGTGTGCTTCATAGGCCATTGCACAAGTTAGGACAGTTTATTCATATGTTGGTGAAAGCAAGGCCCTCAATTCCTATTCGGATGCCATACAGAACACCCTGCAGCTTGGTTACAAGGCTGGAATGGCCAAAGGTCTGGGCCTAGGGTGTACCTATGGCATAGCTTGCATGTCATGGGCACTTGTTTTCTGGTATGCCGGTGTGTTTATCCGAAATGGGCAGACTGATGGTGGGAAAGCATTCACAGCCATTTTTTCAGCCATTGTTGGTGGCATGTAAGATTTTAATCTGAGAACTTTCGTTTTCTTCTATTCTCGTTTTCAGATGAATAATAATACACTTGAATGTTACAGGAGCTTGGGTCAGTCATTTTCAAATCTTGGGGCCTTTAGCAAAGGTAAATCAGCTGGATACAAATTGATGGAGATTATTAAGCAAAAGCCCACCATAATTCAAGATCCCTTGGATGGAAAGTGCTTGTCTGATGTTAATGGCAATATAGAATTCAAGGAAGTAACCTTTAGCTACCCTTCAAGACCAGACGTTATCATCTTTCGGAATTTCTCAATCTTCTTCCCAGCTGGAAAGACTGTTGCTGTTGTTGGTGGTAGTGGTTCTGGGAAAAGCACTGTTGTCTCTCTGATAGAAAGGTTCTATGATCCTAACCAGGGTGAGTAAGATAATTTTCTCCTATGGAGATATAGAAATTATATGGAACCTTGATGAAACGGATATGCTAACAACTCGTGGGCTTAGCAGGGCAGGTGTTGATTGATAGTGTGGACATAAGAACACTGCAACTGAAATGGTTACGTGATCAGATTGGCCTTGTTAACCAGGAGCCTGCACTTTTTGCAACTACTATACTTGAGAACATTCTCTATGGAAAGCCTGATGCAACAATGGCTGATGTAGAAGCTGCAGCCTCTGCAGCCAATGCTCATAGTTTCATCACCTTGCTTCCCAATGGGTACAACACTCAGGTTTGTGTTAGTCATTCCTCTAAAAGTACCTTGGCTATGTATAAATGCAATGCATTCCTTCCCCTCACAACATTTTTAACCAAATGCCAATGCGAATTCAGGTTGGAGAGCGAGGAGTTCAACTATCTGGTGGGCAAAAGCAGAGGATTGCAATTGCCAGAGCTATGTTGAAAAACCCAAAGATCCTCCTTCTGGATGAGGCAACCAGCGCACTTGACGCAAGCTCAGAGAGCATTGTTCAAGAAGCTCTAGACCGTCTCATGGTTGGAAGAACAACTGTAGTTGTGGCACATCGCCTTTCCACCATAAGAAATGTTGATAGCATTGCAGTCATACAACAAGGGCAAGTTGTTGAGACAGGAACACATGAAGAACTGATTGCCAAAGCAGGTGCCTATGCCTCATTAATTCGGTTTCAAGAAATGGTCGGTAACAGAGACTTCAGGAATCCATCTACACGTTGTTCACGTTCGTCACGGCTGAGCCACTCATTGTCAACAAAGTCTTTGAGCCTTCGGTCTGGCAGCTTAAGGAACCTAAGCTACCAGTACAGTACCGGTGCTGATGGGCGGATAGAGATGATTTCAAATGCTGAAACAGACAGGAAAACTCGAGCTCCTGATGGCTATTTCTTCCGGCTTCTCAAGTTAAACGCTCCTGAATGGCCCTATTCAATTATGGGAGCTATAGGATCAGTACTGTCCGGGTTTATTGGTCCAACATTTGCTATTGTAATGAGCAATATGATTGAGGTTTTCTACTATAGAAATCCTGCCTCCATGGAAAGGAAGACAAAGGAGTATGTTTTCATTTACATTGGAGCTGGCCTCTATGCTGTGGCTGCATATTTGATACAACATTACTTCTTCAGTATCATGGGAGAGAACCTCACTACCAGAGTGAAGAAGGATGCTTGCAGGTTAAAGAAAAAAAAAAAAAAAAAAAAAAAAAAAAAAGTCTTTCTTCGGTTTACATCATAATTTGCAGCTTAAAGTTTACTTTTTTCTTTGAGTTGTTGTTATGGTCTTTGTAATTTGATTCTAATAGTTACTTCTTCTTCCTTCAGCAATCTTGAGAAATGAAGTTGGATGGTTTGATGAAGAGGAGCACAACTCTAGCCTTCTAGCAGCCCGATTGGCCACAGATGCTTCTGATGTGAAGTCAGCAATTGCTGAGAGGATATCTGTAATATTGCAGAACATGACTTCACTCCTCACTTCATTCATAGTTGCTTTCATAGTGGAATGGAGGGTCTCTCTGCTCATTTTAGCAACCTTTCCTCTTCTAGTGCTAGCCAACTTTGCTCAGGTACACTCAGAGTCTCCTCCACTCCCTTTAACTTGCCCCATATTACAAGATAAAAAAAGTTCAAGTCTTTTTTCATTTTTTCGTACAAATTCTTAAAGCACCACCAAGCCGTGTTGCTTTGAAAAATGCTAGCTTTTTCCTCTGATGGGTTGACCCAAGTCCTGCAATGGCATATGGGTTTAGTCTCAGTTTTATAATATTTTATATAGTGTTGTCAGATTTTGCATCTCCTTTTACATATGGAATCTTAACTTCACTTCCATCCTAGCATTAAACGACAAGAGAAAACTACAACGTGTCACCACACCCTGCACTGCACGTGCTTCCTCCGAGTCTTGTGCACATTAATAAGGCAAATAAAAACTCTTTACAACAGTGAAGAAATAGAATATAGAATATCAAAGATTCCATGATCACCCACATTAGTACATTACCATGCTGCTAATTATAAAGGGAAGGTCTCTAAAGTTCACATTTTTCTTTCTAAATGTTGAAACTTATAAACAAAATTATCCTGATATCCTTAAAAAAGATTATTAAACGAGTGTCTTGTTGCTTATCTCTAGACAGCATGGCCCTTTTCTTTCGTTGGTTTTATTTTGTAGCAGTCATATTTGACTCTTTCTGCTTTTTCTCACTGTTTCCTTTTTCTATTTGCCTCTGTATAATAAATCTAACCCACGAGCTTACACTGCACATTTCAGAGGAACAGTATATATCAGTTCTTCTGTCATCTGTGTCTGAATTTATAGGCCCAAGTTGAAGCTTTATACTTGTTTATTTTCTTCTATGTGTATGAGCTGTGGCTGCTTTTTTCTTTTCTTTCCTTACAATTCACTGAATACACCCATGTGATGTGATGAGAGTTACAAGAGACTCTATAGGCCCGTGATCACATTATTTTTTTAGTTTGGCAGAGATAGTGTTCAACTTTTCTCTGGCAAATTGTAGGGTGTTCACTGTTTGAGCTGCTTGAAAATTGCTAACTTGCGCCTGGTGCGCTTTGTTTGTGCACATGCCATTTGCCTATCTTGTCGTTTTTCTTTGGCATGAGAAGTTAGTTTCTTTTTCAAAATGCAGTACAGAAGAGAGCCTCTGACTGTTTGTTTGTTTGTATTGTCTGGAACAGTGTTCTAAATTTTGCGCATGCTCCATACACAGTGAATAGTGAATAGTGAATAGACCCATCTGACTAAGAACGTACCTTGTGTGTAATATATTAACGTCCTTGTCCTTTGTGTAATATATTGTCCTTTGTGTAATATATTGACGTCCTTGTCCTTTGTGTAATATATTGACGTCCGCGGCCTTGTCCCCAAACCCTATGTAGCCCCGGGGGCTCTTTAGTCTGGCCCACAACTCACTGAGCCATGTTTTGTTTGCTTTCCAAGCAATAATTCTCTCCAACTAATCCAACAAAGAATACGATAAACTTTAATTAAATGGAAGGCCAAATTGTGTTCATTGTAATTTGCTAAAGAACCTGATCATATGATGTTATTAGTCCATTTGAATAATGTAGTTTACTAACTGTTGAATCTGATATTTTTGTGCATTGCCCAGCAACTTTCTTTGAAAGGGTTTGCTGGAGACACTGCCAAGGCTCATGCAAAGACAAGCATGATTGCAGGGGAGGGAGTGAGCAATATCCGAACAGTTGCTGCCTTCAATGCCCAAAACAAGATTCTCTCTCTCTTCTGCCACGAGCTCCGTATCCCTCAGCTTGGAAGCCTTCGCCGGAGCCAAACTGCTGGCCTTCTATTTGGCCTCTCTCAGCTTGCATTGTATGCCTCTGAGGCTCTCATTTTATGGTATGGTGCCCACCTTGTCAGCAAAGGTGTCTCAACCTTCTCCAAAGTAATCAAGGTTTTTGTGGTCCTGGTTGTAACAGCTAATTCAGTTGCTGAAACTGTTAGCCTTGCCCCTGAGATTATTAGGGGTGGTGAAGCTGTTGGTTCAGTCTTTTCAATCCTTGATCGTCAAACGAGGATTGACCCGGATGATCCCGAGGCGGAGATTGTTGAAACAATTCGCGGTGAAATTGAACTTAGACATGTTGATTTTGCCTATCCATCACGACCTGATGTCATGGTCTTTAAAGATTTTAATCTGAGAATCCGCACTGGCCAAAGCCAAGCACTTGTTGGAGCTAGTGGTTCAGGAAAGAGTTCTGTGATTGCATTGATTGAGAGGTTTTATGATCCCATAGTTGGTAAAGTAATGATTGATGGCAAAGACATTCGACGTCTGAACTTGAAGTCTCTCCGGCTAAAAATTGGTTTGGTACAACAAGAGCCAGCCTTGTTTGCAGCCAGCATTTTCGAAAACATTGCCTATGGCAAAGAAGGGGCAACTGAAGCAGAAGTAATCGAAGCAGCTCGTACTGCCAATGTGCATGGTTTTGTTAGTGGATTGCCTGATGGCTACAAAACCCCGGTTGGGGAGAGAGGGGTTCAGCTCTCAGGGGGACAGAAACAAAGAATTGCAATAGCAAGGGCTGTGCTCAAGGACCCAACAATACTTTTGCTTGATGAGGCCACAAGTGCACTTGATGCTGAATCAGAATGTGTACTACAAGAAGCACTCGAGAGGCTTATGAGGGGCCGCACCACCGTGCTGGTTGCCCACCGTTTATCGACGATCAGAGGGGTGGACAGCATTGGTGTGGTTCAAGATGGGCGCATTGTGGAACATGGTAGCCACTCGGAACTGGTGAGCCGCCCTGATGGGGCTTATTCTAGACTGCTGCAGCTACAGCATCATCATATATGAGAGGAGTTTTTTTGGTCAAAAGCAGCGGCATGCATGGCCTTGTTGGGTTGTTAAATTATGTTTGTCCCGTTAATCTTATCCATCCACCATTGTTCTTTTAGTTGTAGATATGGCATATCAATCTTCTGAACAATTTCTCTAATCTCTAATGGAGTAGCAAGTATTATATTATCAATATCTTTCCTGCATGTTATCAATGTCGGTTGTTGGGATTTAGCTTTCTTTTCTCTTAGCACTCTTCTCTTAGCTTTATGATATCACACCCAAAAGCAACCCTCCAAAAGAAAATCATTAGATCCCTTTGGGAGAAACTTCCCTCAATTCTGCTTTTCCCATTGCATGTGTTTCCTACCATAATCTTTTTCGATTGTACATAAGCGGACCCTTTTTCTTTTTTGTTTCCGAGGGGCCAAGGCTTGGAGAGAAACTCGCATGCAATGTTATACACTTTTTGCTATTCCCGATCAATAACACAATAACACATAGGATAACTTTTTCACGTGTCATTATGTTATTGGCTGGGAGTGGCAAAAGTGATATCCTGTTTCAGACATGCACTTTGGGGACAGTTAAAACACCAACAAAGTGCAAGGTTATCTCTATATGATAAAATGGAGACACATTCATTTGTAGCAGATGGTGGCGTGAGGGACTAGTGTTATAAAGTGTGAAGCTTAAGAATGTGCTCCACTGATGGCAATAATCAAAGACTGCATCTAAAGTAATTATTATTTTTCCTTCTATTAGTGAAGGACTGAGGGTCCAACTTTGTACAATTCATTGAGTGATGAATTAGTGGGTTTCCACGAAAACATCCAACCCAGATTCAAACCTTGAAGGTGATGCCACCTTCTACTATTCTCATATTAATCTTAAATCAATAATCATAATGTTCCGAAAAAAGAAAACAAAAATGTGCTATAACATATATGTACTAGGCTCTGTCACTGTTAAAAAGAAGGCTTTGAAAGAAGGGCAATAAGATTAGATGAAGAGAGCCAGAGGAATGGAATGGGAAGGGAAAAGATTATATGCATTGATCACATCACTTCCTCACTGGACAGTCAATTATATTCTTCCTGCAATCTCTTTGTATGCAAGGGGTGATTATATCCGCTACATATCTGAATGTGGTAATATTTTCAAGGTCTCATAGTTATAATGTATACTTTGTTGAATCTCTGAAACGATAGAAAACAAAAGAGAAAAAGACACAAAAGAAATAAAAGGTTAAGAATTTTTATGCTTTTCTTTACTTGTTATATAATTTGGATGTAACAAGTTGAAACCAGAAACAGAAAAGGACATGTGATGATGGTGAAAACGAAAGTGATAATGGAAGGGAAGAAATTGGAAGGTAGCTTAGGCAGGCTCTTTCAGATTCTTGGGGGTCCCTTTTCTCTGTGTCATGTTTCTGCTTCTGCTTCTGCAGAAAGAGGGTGTGAGTGTTTCAGTGTTGACTGCTGTGCATGGCAAAAGTCTGACTCTGAAGACTAAGCTCTCAGGGTCCAGCCCATTTTTCAGGCCGTACCCTTTTTTTGTTGCTTAGGCCAACTGGAGGATCTCTTCTCATTGCCAATGCATGTTCTTATCATGCAGTGGGTCACTTATCTGGACCCATTTTGAATGCTTTTCCCTGAATTTTTTCACCTTTTTTTGGGGGGTCACATTCTCTTTTCTTTTCACCTTGAAAAAGAGACAGGCTGTGCCAAAGATGCAATATACTAGTTGTAGATTTGTAACAGGTAAGTTTTGATGATGCAATTTTAACTAATCACTGTTATGTGCCTCTTCCTAAACATTTAATGAATGCAATTTTGCAAGGGGCTGATCAAGTGATTAGGAGTATTTACAGAGGTCTTAGGTTTGACTCATCCTTACCCCAGTATCGCTTGTATAAATAAATATTTAAAATAAAAAATTGGTGAAATTTTAGACCATGTAGAGCTCTTGTTAGGGTTTCAAATTTTCAATAATTGTATTGAGATATTAAAGAAGTTCAAGTGGGCAGGGCAGGGCAGGGCATCCATAATGATAACTTTAAAATCCGTAGAAGACTGTAGAAGATAAATGATAATGCCATATTCATGATCTGTCCCATGTCTGTGGAAGGCCATTGCCAACCAGACACAATTGTTCAATAATTGTAATGAAAGTTGCACACAATGCACATATATAAAGAAAGATAAGCATGCGATTAAAGATTTCATTCATGCAACAAACATAACAAACCTAAGCTACCCCATGCTTTAATATTCAATTTTTTGCCCTGATCCTCAGGTGAACAGTGCAAGGATAATGTGGCTGTGCTGTCCCCATGGCTCAACTGTAACATTGCATCTTCCCATAAAAGAAGTCTATGAAGGTTGGTTTTCTGTATAACAAGAAAGAAAATTGCTTGGCAGTAAAATAATGTTGAGCAAGGCTTTGGTTTGTGAAGGACAAGAGTAAATCTGCCATGCAGAAGAGGGGAGCTTATATAATAAGGGGATTTTTCGAGGCGGTTCGCTCCAACAGTTCAATAATAACTCTGCACTAGATCAAACGGCTATTAAGAATCCGCTCATTATAACCTCTCATTTTAGTCTCCCTATACAAGGGAGGCATGGTTTTGTAAGAGGCTGGCCCAAATATGAGAGGTAGGCCTATCTTCTGTACATTCCAAAATCAACCCTTCCGGAATTTGGGTCTGGTTATATCTGTTAGTAGAGCCCAGAAGATCAAAGTTGCATTCTTTTCTGACCCACCAAATTGGGTTACCTTTTTTTCTGGCCTATGGTTTGAACCCAAAATTAAAGCCTATCTACCAGTAAGTTACAAATTGGTCTGCAGCTTTTCAAGCCATGGTTGTGGGTTTTTAACAGCTCTAGCTCTCTCCGTATGTTTTTGTTTTTGTTTTTGTTAGGTGGCCTTTCTTGTTGTAAGGGGCGATAATATACTAAACTCATACTGACAACACGAATGCTATGACCTTTTTTCTAGCTCTCACTGTATGTTAGTTTGTAATTATTGAAAAGAAAAAAGAAAAAAGACAGAAAGAGTAGCCAATAATGAATCAGTGGCATAAATCTAGGCCTAGTTTGAATTTGCAGCAGTTTGTGTCTCTGCTGCAACCACACATTCAGTTATGTGTATATGATTCTTTCTGATTCATTGCAACTGTCATTATTGATGTTTAAACTCAACGACTACTGCATGCGCATTTCAAGCGTGCCATTCTTTGTTTCTTTCCTTTTCCTTTTTGGGTGGTCAAGTTATTTCTGTCTTTTCAAGTCTATATTGCATTACATTGACCATTGACCAATGACCATTGTTCCACTGATCATGCATCCTAGAGAGAATTCAGATAACCCCCACCAAAACAATTCGTTAATCAGTCAGCGTCCTCATGGAAACTTTGAGGGCCAGGAGATCTGCAAGGCTTTAATTTTCAACTTAGTCGGCAAAACAACATAAAAAGAAAGAACTATTTAAACATGCATGTCTTTAGGTGATCAAGCAATGAGTGCTAGCTGGTAAACTCTGCATTAACTCGTGATGAAGAAAAGTAGGATTTAGGTGCATCGTGCTAACAAGAGCCTAATTAGACATCATTAATTATTTGTTGGAGATTCAAAAACTATTCAGTACTGAAAGCAAATTCACAAATCAAATCATTTATATGAGTTTTGACTTGCGGATATTCAAAATTAAGCACTTTGACAAAATTCATTAATGAGTAAATCAAGGCATGAATTTGTCGGAGACTCATGATCACCTCTCAACTAACAACAAACTCAACGAATCAAATTGAATCAATCAAGGGTTATATTAAATAAAATTCTTCTGATATAAAGTGTATTGCATGCTTACTAAGTCGCGCGAGTGAGAACGTGTGCAAAGAGACTAGTGTCTATATATATATATATATATATATATAATTTTCAGGAAGATTCATGAAGAGCTATATCGGATATAACAACCCATCATTGAAGTTTTAGGTTTAAACCTAATGTCCTTTCCACATAAAAGCAAGACCCCAATAAATAATACAAAAGTTTGAGAAATGAAACACATATGCCCCCAGCGGACCCCAAAAATTGGCAACACCTTATGAATGAATGGGGGGACCTCATAGAGTGAGCTATACGGCTCATCACAAGGAGCATAATGATTTACCAAAACAACAACACGAAGATAAATAGACACCTAGATTAATCTAAAGGAGCAGATTTTGCCTCAAATGAATCTCTCCTCTTGCGGTCCATTAAGTAAAATGGGGTCATGTACTTCGCCCTCATTTTTACAGCAACATCACATGCAGCATGTATATATAAGGACAACACATTACAATCAATGAGATAAAGATGTCGATGCAAGATACAAAAACATTCATATACGGTGGTCAATTTTCTTACCTTCTTGTAATAATTAAGCCATGTGAATGTGGTATGCCTAGCATTGCTCGTTATGTATACAACATCTGTATGTGCGTGTGCGTAAAATTTTGTGCATATATATGTATACATATACGAGTTGATTGGAGATAGACAAATGCTAGAAAATTCATCTATCAAACTTTCTTTGGTGCCAATGTGATATTATACATTGTTAATACATTTCGGTAGTATTCACTTGATCAATTATTATTCAAATTGAGAACATGATACGCATGTGTGAGAGAGTTTAGCAAAAGAACATCTCTTTATAAATTGAATATATATATATATATATATATGTATATGTGTAGCACATGGAGATTAGAGATCTAGAAACATCAAAGATACATACCCACACAACACAATATATTTATCCCAAATATTATTTCGTTGGTGGGTGCCCGAAATGATCGTTGTTAAAGATATTGCTGGTGGTTGGCTAAAATAGAATTTGGCTATTGTAACACATGTGCATAAACACACAACACAAACACAGAGGCTCGCAGAGGAGGAGGAGGAGGTGGAGGGGTCCTTGCAGACAATTAAGGGTCGTCTAATTTTATAGTCACACGTGACAGTGCTTGACAAAAGCCTGGAAATTTCACATCTATGCCTCTTTTAGGAACACCTCCACGACAACACCCTCTCGTGTATGTACTCAGGTTTACGGCATGCCACGTGGCATGTCGTGTGTGGCAGGAAATGCCATGTGACCACCCCCTGGAGGCTTTGAGCCTTTCACAATTAATCCAGGTCGTATGTTAAATGCTAATATGCTATGCACTCACTTAGTTATTTGTGTCCTAAACGAATATGTGCAAGTGACATGAGAAGGGAGATATATAGAGTAAAGATTTACTTCGTTAATTATATATTTTTTGGGTGAAGTCTGTGATCCTTAGAGCACTTTCAGCGGTTAGCTGTGGCCCGGGCATGAGGGGCCTTAAGTCCCAGGTTGAGGTTCCATCGCGCAAATGCAGTCCGGGCAACTGGTGGGCTCCACAAGTCTGGGCAGGCCCAAAGACAAGAATGGCCTGGGATGTTGCCTGGATTTGCTGACGTCAGCGATGATGTCATCAAAGAAATTTTTTTTAAAAAAATCTATAAAAAAACTAAAATTTTCAGCATTTTTTTAAATAAATACTTAGTCATATTCTTCACTTCCCATACTAAAACTCTATACAAATTCCTCTCCTCATATCTCATGTGAATAGTGGTTGCTCTTGGATTGCTATGGCAATGGGTGGAAACACCACAAACCTTTTGCAAGGGCTACCCTTATTCATGTGAATAGTAACAGCCATTGTCCTGTCCTTGTCTTTCGCCATGGCAAATGGGTGGAAGTGCTCTTACTGTTTTTGGTATCGTTTTATAACAATAGAGAAACTGAGTATTAATATTCATAATTCGCCCTTGCATAATGCATATGAGAATTTGATACGATTTTCTTGGGAATTAAGTAGAATATATAGGTCCAGCTTGTGTTAAAGGCAACCACAGCATGCCAAGTAGTAGAAGAAGAAGAAGTACCTGCTGCGTCTCTCTCTGTTTTCTCTGGTGACTGCCCTGAAACATAGGAGTTGTGGCTGAAAATTCAAAGGAGGTGAACGTGGCAAGAGGCCATTGGTGAATAAAATTCAGTGACATAGTTTATGAAGTAGCGAGGATCAGTATCCTATGATGATCACATGGTGTTGCGTATTGCGACATGTACATGAAGGGCCCACATTGTTGGCTCAAAAACAAACACATTTCTCCAAGCCCACTTGAAATCAAACCCCAACTTGGGAGCACACACACAACAAGTCTATGCCCTCTCTCTCTCTCTCTCTCTCTCTGGCTTAAAATACCAGGTCTAGTACACTACTTTCTCCAACGCAATTGTCTTCTTCACATCCAACATCGCTGTCTAAGTTATTGTACGCCTTCTCTCTCTGCTCGTTTTCCCTTGTGGTCCTTCCTCTCTTTACATCTCTCTTTTCGCTGTCTGGGGTTATAAATTCATATATCTTATTTATATATATATAGGACTTGTAGTACTCGGTCTTTCTGCTACCAGCTCCTCTTCTTCTTCTTCTTCTCCTCCTCCTTTTGATCTACTTCTTCTCCTTCTTTTACCTCCTCTCGAATACTTTTTCCTCACAAGTTGGCTCTTATGTACGTGCCCACTTACCTCTTTTAGGTTAATATTTCTCCTTCCCAGCTATATATATATATATATATTAATATTAATATATAAAGCCCTGTAGCAAGTCTGATCGTCGATCTCTTTATATATATATAAAACCAGCTGTAGCTAACAGTCTAGATATATAGCTAGAGATCATGTCTAGCAGAAGGTCGAGGCAGTCTGGAACTCCAACGATCAAAGACGACCAAATCATTGAACTTGTCTCCAAATTACGCCAACTGGTTCCTGAGATTCGTGATAGGCGCTCCGACAAGGTAACTAAACTACTCTTTCTCTCGTATATCATATATCTTTTAGAATACAATAAATGAGTGAGTAATTATGAGAAGTGCATGCCTTTTGTAGAATGCGATTAACAGTTTCATATATATATATATATATCATATATAATTGGGCTTAAAAGTTTCTAACAACCCAAGCGCAGGTAGATGGAAACTGTGGGGGAAGAAATAATAATAACTTTAGGGTATATCATGGTAAATGCACCACATGCACTTTGTAATATTGTAGTCAATTTGGACTGTTCGAGTAGTCTAAACTTGACCCGGACATCAAGGACTTGTTACATTTTCCATAGGACCTAGACAATATATATATAGGTTTCTCATTGACCAAAATATATACTAAACAATGTCATGGTTGGAGGAGTTGGACCGTTTACCACTAAACCTCCTCATGTGTCATGTGGCATGTGTGGTCGTATATATATATGTAGAAGGTGGAGAATTTATTTAAGCTATATGTATCGTATGGTTCAAATAGATGGTTGAGAGTTTGTAATAATTTGTGAAAAGTTTGTCGTAGAAATATTAGAAAGCCAGTAGTTGTGGCGCTAATTGAGATCTGACTTTTGATTGATATCATGTCGCGCGAGCTCTGCAGGTATCAGCATCTAAGGTCCTACAAGAGACTTGCAGCTACATCAGAAACTTACACAGGGAGGTTGACGACCTAAGTGAGCGGCTCTCCCAACTGCTCTCGACAATTGATGCTGATAGCCCGGAGGCCGCCATAATTAGGAGCTTGATTACGCAGTAGATGATCAGCTACATCATGATCATCAGATCCTTAATTATATATTTATATATAATTGTGTTTTGATGATGAATTTATATAGTTAAATTGTGTTCATCTAGGTTATCTGGTCACCAGATTATTAAACAAGGCCAGTTAGCTAGGGTACTCAGCACTACTGTATGTATTTAAAGATGTCCTGTCATGTCCTGTCCTGTCCTGTGTTGTTAATTAGAGCGAGGGCCTAGTAATATGTATTCAAGTTTGTTTAATAAATTAAGGAGGACTTGGACTACTACAGCAAGTCTTTATGCACTTGCTATAGGCTAGCTTCATTTCATTGAAACTATAAAATTATATCTGCAATACTCTCTTTCTTCCACTTATCCCACTTACCCACTTGGGTTAAACCATTTGCATGGAATATTATTACTTAGCTTGCCAGTTTTAATATCATAAACCAACACTTTTCTTGGCCGTGACACAGTGAGATCAAAGTGGCCAAACCAACAAGTCACAAAATGTCAGCACAACAGCCACCAAATACTCACGGGAAAATAATTATTATAGGGCCAGCGATTCGAACTATGCAGAGTGGATTTGGATGTGCAGATTAAATTAGGGGCTGCAAATCATCTTGGTTAATTGGCATACAAACTCTAGCTAGCTAGTCTCTAGAAAAGAAAAAGAAAAAGTATACAAATCGATATCGAATATATTATCTTATCCTCATATGTACGTATCTTAATAATCTGTTGAATCTAGATTGGATATTGTCAATGGAATCATACCATATATATTATAGTGAAAATATATGTTTGGCCTAAAAGATAAGTGGGTCTCAAATTCGAAACTCCTAAACACCAGTTTGTATGAATAAGGCATCTATCTACGTCCTCATAAAGGATTCCGTAAGGTATTTTTCTCATGAGGTTTGTCGACATGTGTTTGTGTGAGGACGAAAACAACTTTGTATATATGTCATACGGTCGCATTGCCTTCCAAAAAGTCCCCTTGTCGAATTATGTACAACGTCAACATGACTTACATTTACAGCTGATGTGGTGGCATTGCCTTCCAAAAAGAATCTTTCCCACATGCCCATGCAGCTAGCATTCTCGTTCACCAGTCCGTATGAACATGTACTGCCCAGGATAAATATACATATATATATATATATATGCAGCCTCGTAATAATTTTATTTGAGAAGCATCTTTATTAACGATGCATAATAACGCTCGCATCTTTGACTACCAGGATTTTTGACAAACACCTAATTTTTCACATGAACCACATCGATCCATCTATAGGGATCGACCTAACCTATGTCAAAGTTGGGCAGGACTGTAGTATAAACTGGGAGTAAGTTTACCTCATGAATTTGTATCCTTTCGTTTCCCCGAAAATTTTATATCCTTAGAACATGGACTAGCTAGCTAGTTTTGTATTGGACCACTCATTATGTTAGGCAATCAACTCTATGGATGACCACTCTTTTTCTTTTTGCTTCTTTGGTCATCCAAAATAACTTCCGTCTCCACATATATGAATGTTACAGTTCATACCAGAGTTTCCACATGCATACATGCATCTATATTTTCCTACTTATTATGCATTTAGTCAAGCAATAGGCCCCAATTGTAAAGTGATACCACGAGAACTTGAATTCAAGACCAGTTGGAAGCATGCAAGAGGCTTGAGCTAACAACCATTGCTAACACCCTGATAAGGTCAATATATCTGAAAAGGAAATATATGAGTTTGACCATTCATCGAAGGGAGTCGTCTAGAAACTGTTAGCTGATAAGATGACAAATATATACAGTATATGTCATATGTAGATGTGGATGATTAGGAGAGGGTTTAAAGGATATTTCCCTGGCTCAACAAACATGATGAAGACACTAATTAAATCAACCTGCAAAGGTTGTCAACGTTAAAAGGAACATTTATGAAATCCATCGAGGAGATTGTCTTTATAATTACGCAACATCACATTACTTAAATTAAAGTTATTCACAAAACCAAGGAACTAGTTTTGTTTGATTGCTAACAAACAAAGGAAGAAAAATATATATGTCAAGGAAAACTTGGAATGTGCGTACAGAACTCGGCTAAGCTTAGGCATCGTCTACTTAAGTTAATGACAAGTCATTATGCATGTGATCATGAGTATATATTCATATTCAAATTCGTCAAACCATCGACCTCTCAAAGATGCCTCAAATTATCGTGGAAAGCTCAACTAGAATCCTCCCCTCTCCATATGAACCCCAAACCATCACCATCACCATCAACTAGATACATCACGAAGCACGATCATAGTGTGCATTGCAAGTCATGAGTCCACATGAGCATGTTACGCAGTTTCTTATCTTGTTCAAATTGTTTTCTCCGTGTACTGTTGTTGATGTGTTATATATTTGTTTGACGGGCCAACATATATATCCACAACAAGTTACTAAAAATACACCAAATTAACTCATTATAAAGGTATATCGTCTAATGTAAGCAAGGGCGGAGCCAGGGGTGGTTGGGGTGGGCTCAAGTACTGCTCTGTATTTTTTTAAAATGGGCCTATATGTGCACTGGTCCACAAGTCAGCCCACTGGTCCATTAAGTACAATCAAAACTTGGAAAAACACAAGCCCAAAACATTGTCTTCCTTCCTTCCTCTCAAAAATGGGGGTTCCTCCTTCCTGCCCCTTTCTCTTTTCTCTTTTCTGTTTCTTCTGTCATTTTTCTACTTTTCTTTCTCTTTCTCCTCTCTCCTTTCTCTTTTCTTTTATTTCTTCTCTCTCTTTTCTTGTTTATATATTACTAATGATATATGTTTTATTTTTGGTTCTCACCATATTAATTAGCATACCAAAAATAAATAAATTTGGTTCTCATTGTTTATATAGATCTTTCATATAAATAAAAAAATTAGCACAATCCTAGAAAAATTCATGGTTCCGCCCTTGTATGTAAGTTGAATCACCTCCAACCAGTAGAGATAATTACCACTAGATCAACAACTAATTGACGTTGGTGTTATATGTTTGCTTGTCATCTAAGAACTTTGGAAGAAAAAAAATCATCATAATAAGTATGACACATAAACATAAGAAATAGCTCAACAATGTTTAGTGGGCGCCTTAATTTCTGATATCAAAGACTTTCTAAAATCACACCATTTTTAATTTTGCGGGGCATGTGTGAAAAAGTTATAATTTCGCGGGGCTTTTCACTAATTTCGTCTTCTGAGTGTTTGGACGGTTGGACCTTAACCAATACGCCACCGTTCTGCTGATCATTTCATTTGTGCAGCAACCTTTTACCTGTTTTTGTTATTTATTTTCATTATTATTATTTTTTTAAGACCTTTTTACCTTTATGATTATCCTCATCCTAACTGAAAACTAGATTCCCCGCCACTCGGATCATAGGAATCTCCGACGGCGGCTTAAAGGGATAAGCCCCACGCCACGCTCCTCCAACGACAATCAAAACCACGCTCTTCTTCTTCTTCTTCATTGGAAACTCTCAAAATTCGACAACAGGTATGCAAACTGTAATATTTCTCAAGTTCACAAACTTTTCTATCTGGGTTTTTCAGTTCACTTAGTTCCCATTATCAAATTAGCTTCGAATTCGTTTATTTTTTTTCCAAATTATCAATGACAGAATCATCAAGTGGCTTTGACTTGGTTAATAGACATTAACACTGTGCCTAAAGTTTGTCACTTTCCCACTACCTTTGGCTTTCTTTGATACTTATAATACAAGTTGACACTGGTTCTTAGGAATTTGTAGGAGACTGTGTTTCTATGATGGTTCTGAGTTGAAAAATCCTCTCTTTCTTTGTTTCAGAATTATAATCCGAAATTGTGCATATTATGCTGCGTTAATTGATGCGCAGAACATGCTGTTTTATAGCCACTTAATGCAGGGCCTCTTATAAGAGTGGCTGAGAATCATGCAGGGAAACTGCATCATTGCCTTGGAATGTATCTGACTTTAGATGGGTTTCAAGTTTTTAACTTTTATTTTAAGGCTGATGTATTCAAGTTATCATTGAATTGGAATTAAACTTCATGGTTTCACTAGATGTTAGAAGAAACATCCAATTGTCTTTTCTTCTGTTTTTTCCTTTGAATTTGATGTAGGGACCACTGAGGGTTATGGGCCTATGGCGTATGGATGATCCTTACATGTGCAATGCAAGCAAAGCTTGTTCGAACATGATAATGCCTTCTATCTATTTCTGATATTTTCCTTATCCCTTTCGTTTAGTCCTCAAACCTTACTATGAAATGCTATTATGATTCCAACCAAAAGGAACCGAATGATTCTTAGATGACCATTTATGTTTATAAGCCGGTTTTTAGTATCCTCTCAATCCAGTTTTTTATTCCAAGGATTTCAGGAAAATGTACCCTGGTGGTTACACTGCTGAAGTTACAAGCTTATCCCCTAAAGCTACAGAGCAGGATGTTTACGACTTTTTCAGTCATTGTGGTGCAGTTGAGCATGTTGAAGTCATCAGGTATAGAATTCATCTTCCCTTGCTTTTAATTACTAACAATGATTCCATTGTTTTGTTTTTTATTTTGCACTGAAACTGGAAAGTGATTGTTTAGTGATAATTATATATGGGGTTTGTCCACCATAAACTCATTGAGTTGGTCAGAGGCTGCTTGTTTTAGGAGAAGGTCAAAAGGAAAAATGCCTTTTGTGAAGCCTCTTTAACTTTTTTTATTATCTAGAATTAAGTAATTAAAGAAATAGAAGTCAGCATCATAAACAATGGTATATAATTTCGGTTTTCCACAAGTTTAGAAGTCATCATTTTGGCTATCAGGTGTGCTCATTGCTGTGTTTTCTGTGAATGGAATCTTCATATTCATAATGGCCTCACCATAGCAATGGGATCATAAACTTTAGTTTGCATGAACAACAGTGGAATTACTTTTAGTAATTCATTCAATTCCCATTTGATAACTGACTGCTCATGCTCAATAAAAACGTGCTTGTGAAGAAAAGAACAAAGGATAAATTTGAGCATCTGTCATGAGAAATCTTCAAAACTGAGACGACAGGTCCTAAAGATCGAATATGATAAGTCATATGCTTCCATGAGTTGTACAATATTTCACCTGATTCATTCATTCCTTTGAAATTTCTTAATGAATGTGTATTTGATAGAATGCTTTTGTTGTTGGGAACAGATCTGGTGAATACGCCTGTACTGCATATGTGACATTCAGAGATGCGTTTGCTCTACAAACTGCTGTGATGCTCAGCGTAAGATGCGTTCCCTGAATTGTGATAAATGGTGATTCATAACTTTTGACTGCTTTTGCTTTAACAAAATGATCACTTTTTCATATGGAGTTGAAACGCCTTGTCTGAACTAAATCCAGGAATGAACCTTAGTCCCACAATGCCCTGGATGTTTGACATTGTTTGTTCATTAATTTCTCTTTCCATCCTTGTTTCGAAATTCCAGGGAGCTAGCATTGTAGACCAATGTGTATCCATAACACGCTGGGGAAGTTATATTGATGAATCTGATCCTTGGAACAATCCATACAACCCTGAAGGCAACACTAGCTCAATGGTATGTAACCTACTACTTGGATTGGATTGGTTGAAGGTTAATTACAGTACAAGCTTACACAACAAATTTTCATGTGATTTTGAAATTCCAGTGGTTCTTTTAAGAATTTAATCGGATGGTTAAAAAGGTATCATAGATGAATACTAGAACTTAGAAAGAAAGACGTAATGTAGAAAATTTGGGTCAAATGTGCAAAGGGTCGGCCCAAAGGTAAGCAAAGCCTTGTCTTGGGCCCCCTTCAGACAATTGAACAAAGGCTTAAACTCTACTAAAATATAGGTAAAATTCTTATCCAGGCCCAAATAGGGCGAAAAGAAAAAACCACCATCATTTTTCCAAAAATTTACTTTCAGAAAAATTAGAAGCTCTAACTTGATTTCAATTAAGAGATTGTGTGGGTGGGGGTAAGATTAATTATGAATGTTATGTACCACTTAATTATCCAAACCTAGCTTAATTATCAAATTGTTTGTCTCAATTGCTAGTCAAACTTTTCATTGTTTCTTAAATCTTGTATAACATTATCAGGCTTTTCACACAAGTGAGTTCGTTTCTACTCCTGGAGAAGCAATAACAGTTGCTCAGGAAGTTGTCAAAACAATGGTAGCCAAGGGATATGTTTTGGGCAAGGACGCATTAACAAAGGCCAAAGCTTTCGACGAGTCCCATCAAGTCTCAGCTACTGCAGCAGCCAAGGTTTATGAGCTAAGCAATAGAATTGGGCTCACTGAGAAAATCAATGCAGGCATGGAAGTTGTTAAATCCACAGACGAGAAGTTCCATGTTTCCGATATCACCAAATCGGCCGCAACTGTTGCTGGAACAGCAGCAGTGGTAGCAGCCACAGTTGCTGGGGAAGCAGCTGTGGCAGCAGGAAGCGCTCTAGTCAATAGCAGCTTCTTTGCCAAGGGAGCTCTGTGGGTTTCAGATGCATTGACTCGTGCAAGCAAAGCTGCAGCTGATTTGGGTTCTCATACCAGTAAATAACCAACGTTCACATTTGTCTTGTCTATTTTATCTCCTAGAAAATTTCTTTGCAAATAAATAGGCTTTGAAGTAAATTGTGATCTAATAGATGGCCTTTCAAAATGGTTGAGAAACAATCTTGCTGGTTTTTCTTTTGACCATGTTATCTGCTTTGACCATATCATCTCATTGACCAGTCTTGGAAGGCAAGCATCCCCTGGATGGTCAGCAACTATGGCTTGACTCTCATTTGAACAACCAGAATGTTAATCTTTCAACCATAAAACAGAGACTATGGTTGTTACTTTCATAATTAAGGTTTAAGCTTCACAACTCCCACCGCCTGCCTCCCATTAACTACCTTCTAATTTCTTTATTTGTTTTATTAATAATGCTGTTCTTCACCTGCCAACCGATCAGTATATACTTATTCAGCAAGCCCAAGTCTTTGCTTCCCAACGACCCCGTAATGTTCTAAAGTTGACATTATGTTTTTTGGCCGACATCTAAAGCCAACCACCAGTGCCCTGCACATCTTCTAGACTGCTATTGGCTAATTCGCATCTTCAGAAAGCTACCTTTTTGCTTCTTCGTTTTTTGGGTTTATGCCTTAATGCTCAGCTCCGAGCACGGGAATAACACTGTTTTGCTTTTAGTTAATAAGATCCCAGCTTTATTTAGAAAGCTACCTTTTTACTTCCATTTTTTTTTGGGTTTATGCCTTAATTCATGACATGCTCAACTCAATAAGATTGATTAACCAAAGGGTTTTTAGTTGGTGAGATCCTAGCTTTATGCCCATTACTGATTATGAACGCACAAAAGCAGACAAAGCATCCACATGACTTTCTCCTCTACGCTTTGTTTGGTGTTAGGGAAAACGTATATTGTAAAACATGGCGGTGTAAGACTCCCATCATTGAAATCATATTATACAACTAAAAGGCTGGGAACTGGTTTGCCCTTTTCACATATGGCTATCACTTTCCAGAGAACCAGCCGAATATGTGGCAACCAAAAATATTGATATTGATTCAACAAACATTATATGTATAGACTTGAACATCTTTCAATCTCCCTTTACAAAGAGAGAAAAATAGTGAAGGACAATGTGCTGGATCACACTGTGGATTAGATTAGTTAGCCAAAGAAATGAGTCCTTACACCCAAGTTCGAATCTCCTTTTCGTAACTTAAATTAATGTACGCTTATAGCAAATAGTAGAACAGAAAAAGAACCCAAGTGGAATGGACAGAGGGATGGACCACAATTGTGTAAGCCATGTTTATGTAATGTACCCAAATGCAACTTTTACATAATGTCGTTACCCCAAAAAATTAATGGGACTGTTTTTATTCAGCGGTACTACTAAATACTAATGACATATGTTTTCGACAAGAAACAGATGTTTCCATTGGTCTTTTATCCTTTTCCCTTTCCTTTTGGGCTCCACATAGCACATTAATGGCCTCTTATGAGTCTATCTCTTAACAACCCAAATCGATATGGTTTGATAAGATGGAGACTGTCACTTAGCCAATTGTGATTTCTCCGATTTGAATTTGGATACCCAAAAAAAAACCCATTAGTTTGGATTATGTAGGTGTCCCTTTGTGGCACCACCATTTGTTTCTGGCACCTTGCCATGATAATATATTCTGCCTAGTATCTTGCTTAATTGGTATGAGCCGTCCTGTCTAAGTCTAATTCATATACAATAAGTTGTCTGCGCCTTGGTTTTTTTTCCACCAACTCATCAGCTTCGGGTGATACTTCAAGTCTTTTTTAATCAAAGCTTTTAGATAAAGAGGGCAATTGTTTATTTGTAGAATCTAATTTCTCAGAAACTTTATTGAAGGAAATAATAATACATTAGTTTGCCCTTTTTTTGGGGTTGTAAAGTAGGTTTCATGCCCTACTTGTATTTTACTTGTCAAGACCAGAGACGGTGGATTGACCAGGGCACTATCAAATTTTGTTCACTCGCCGACATTGACCCTGATCATTTCTTTCTTTCTTCACCTAATTTGCTTGGCATGCATCAACATGTTTGATGACCCTTCCCATCTCTTAGATGGTTGAAGCCAACTACTATATAGTATACACAACACAACCATAAAATAATATTGAGTACAAATTATACAATCAATCATCAACATACTTGAATTTCATACCAAACCTACTTCCTTCCTTCTTCTATAATATACATATTACACAGCCGTCCATATATGAAAAGATGTGCCCACAGCACTAACAGTCTATTAGTATAGCACGGGAATAATATTGTTTTGTTAATTATAATCAATTACGTTATATCATGTGTGATAACTTTTTCACATAATAGATAGTAATTGATTGGAAATAGCACTCCCATGACATGCACAAATTCTTCTCTTTTATAGTGACTATATTGGCATCAAATTTAAGTGTGGCATGCAATTAGAAAACAGGGTTTTCAAAGATTATGGTGGTGTGTCTGTGTGCATACAACAACTGAAAGAAGAACAAATAGCTGAGAATACAGGGCATTTCATATGTGCTCTTCAAATTCTTGTAGAGGATTATATAGTATTACAATACAAGGCTTTCTCATTTGTTTTCTTCTTTGGAAACAAAACTAATGGAAATTATACAGCCTTCGTAGAGGTTGAGGGGACCTGCTTCTGCCTGCTTGAAACATTATTCACTGTTTCCTATTGCAGTTTTTTTTTCTTCTCATGAAATGGAATGTACCAAAACTCTATACTGTACAACAAACAACTCACCAAGAAAGAAACCCAAAAGAAGCACAAAAAAAATGGTCAAAACTAAGTACCTGTGTTCAGGCCACAGAAAACTAATAGCAACATATTGGACAACGTATTAGGCCATTTTCATTACAATCTGGGCACCGTTGGAACCCCGACTCACCCTCCTCTGCTTCTTCCTCCTCTTCTTCTTCATCTTCTTCGTCACGATCAGCATCTTCATAATATATTTTACAGCTCCCTGAACATGTTTCACATGGCACAAACCTTATATCCCCACAAGCATCACAAACCCCACCACCTCCGGCGCCGCCACCATCCAATTTTTCACAAGATTCAAGCAACTTCTCGAGCTTCCCATCTTCGTGCAATTGCCGAATTTCATCAGCTCCACCAATGTACTTGTTTCCCAGAAACACTCTGGGCAGGGCAACCCCACTGAACCCATCTTTCAAAAGCTCCTTCAGCTCCTCCTTAAACCCCGAATGCATCGAAACGTCTCGCTCATCGACCCGGACCCCTACGCCCTTCAGTATCACCCTCACATGGCAAGAGTCCTCGTACGTCTTCCTTACACCTCGGAGGCTCGTGAAGTACAATACAACCCTGTCCCTGTCCTTGTTGTCCTTTACCTTGCCACAAGGTACTTCATCACATTCGTACTCTGTAACAACTCCATTGCAGGCCAAAGCCGGCTGCTTTTGGACACCCAACTGTGAAAAATGAAAAGGGTCGTCGTCGGATTTGAGCTGCGATAACGATTTTCTGAACGCGGAAATGACCTCGGGATCAAAGTCTGAGATCAAGGAATTGGAATTCACACGATCGTCTTCTGTAAATTGAAGCCACATGGGCTTAGGTGACACGGTACCGTTTTCGTGTAGCTTCGATTTGGGGCGATCAGCAGGGGAACTGGGCACTGGACTTGGGCTCCTAACAACATCAAAAGAGAAGCTCCGGAGGTGATGAGCTGGTGACCTGAAAGGGCTTATGTCTTCAAGGCCTTCCATTAGCTCCCAAGTATTGATCGTCTCGGGCTCGCCCGGGGGTGTCCAGATTGGTGTCCTGGGTACAATTTTTGGGATTTTCTGATCGATCATATTAGACCATGTCTTCGCTTCGATTAGTCCCATTGAAAATTCCTTTTTGTTGTCCTGCACATTTTCCTTTCCATGTTCATCAGTTTTGTGACCGTTACCAATTATGTTGTCCTTGTCGATGTGATCATTGACATTAGCAAATCTCTTGGCCTCGAGGTGGTGGTTGCTTTGAAGGGAGGGATCGACCTTGAGAGAGCCCAAGGTGGAGGAGGTGAGGGCAACAACATGGTAGCTATCGCCTTTGGTTTGAGGTGGGTGGTGGACGTGCATTGAGTAGCTTCGGGAAACTGGAGAATAGGGGTTCTGGCAGTGCCGGCATCGTGACTTTTGCTTCGAGTTTGCGCAACCCATCAGCCCAAAACCCACCAATTTGATTCAAACAAAGAGAGTTTGATCAAACAATCAAAAGGGTATTTTGATATGGGATTTGGAAATCGGATTAAAAGAACATTCTCGGGTTGTTTTGATGAGTTTGAAGATCCAGCGAATTGGGAAATTGTTGGGTTAGGAATCTTTCTTCTTGTTCATGCATTTATTTTAGTAACGAGGGAGACAGAGACAGAGACAAAGACAGGTAAACAAAAGCGTTGAAACTCACATTAATGAGGGAGAGAGCTCGAAACAGCGCAAACCCAGTTGGGGGATTGGCTTGAATTAATTATCATCAACGACGTCAAGGAGACCATCAAGGAGCCAATCTGCACAAGGCCTTGAGAGAAAACGACAAAGGAAGGAAGGCTGAGAAGAAGACGAAGGAGCGGATTTCAGAGGTCCTGGAATTTGCAGTCCGTGAGGCAGAGGCCAACGAATTGAAATTCCATAACAGAAGCGAATAAAGTTGTGGGAAAATACGGAATTTCAATACAAAAGTCAAATAATGAGGGCGAAGACCGTTTCTTTATTTCCCACTCTCCGTCTCTCTAGAATGAAAAACTGCAACAGGAGTTGTGGAAGCAGAACCCACCGTCTCAAAAACAATGTATCAATATATACGTCTTTTACTTGGTAAATCATTTTAAAATAATTACCACAAAATAATAATAATATATTACAAAATGTAACGTCAGCGAAATATATATATCTTTTTTTGGGCTAAACGAACGAAATAGTAGTTGCACTTGTTTAATTATCTTAAAATATTAAAATATTTATAATAGTATTTTGCTTAAAATATTTATAATTACAATGAATGGACAAGACACTATTACATAGTCCACTAGATCATTTAAATAAGAAAATATTAATGTCTTTTACAAAGAAAAAAAAATGGATAATCAAATAGCGGGATTTATTGCTTGAATGGCTCTAGAAGACTGAAGTCGGACGAGGGTAGCAACATTCGCTGCTAGACTTGGGCGGAGAGTGTGATTTAATTTAAGCGGAGGAATTGTGGTCCCATGTGTTCTTGCAAATTTGAAATTACGATGACTATGATATGAAGGATGCAACAATTCCCTTTAATAATAGAGTAATAGAACATAACTTTTGTCAATGGGGTATAGTCTTGTAGGAAATGACTTTGACTTGTAGACTAGTGGTCTCATATTTGAATCTTAATATTTCATCTTTTTTTATAGTTTAGGCTATCATTTGTATTAAATAAAACATAAATAGATAAATGAGAATTATGTAGATTTATTATGAGTTTTTAAATTTTAATATTTACTTTGTGGTGGTGTTCTTATGGTTTGGCTAACAATATTTTATATTTACCTTTTTAGGTTTTTTGTGTAGTTTTTATCTTCTTCTTTTTTTGTGAGAGTCTTATCTGTATTCATATGACTTGGTTTTTCAAGCTTTATCACTATTTGATTGTTCTGACTTTGCAATCTTAATTGAGATGTCTATGTTATAGTTTTTTCGATCTTAGTGATTGTTAGTGGAGGCGCACCTTGTCTTAACATTGATGTTAGATCACTCCGTTATTGTAATGTCTCTTTGTGGCGAATTTGTATTGACCTCTTGTGGCTACTGACTTTTTTTAATGGTATCACCATCATCAATTGCGAGGGAATTTGTTTTAATTTTACAGCAAGGACCAGTGCATGGGGATTGGCTCTAATTATTACACAGGCGTGGTGATTTAGCACCGTCATGTGATGGCACGTGGACACTTCTTCTTTGCAGTTTCCAACACCACAATATTGCCAATCGAGTATAAATTTGTAAACCTAATCGCTTTTCATAATTGCTGCAACCGAACAAGAAGGCAGTTCATTATGCTTCAAAATTAAATTAAAAGCTAAGGTTTTGGTACCTACCGGAACAGTAAGATGACTTGTACGATCAAGTGCGTCTGTTTTTTATTCAAAGATGAAATATCAATAATGTGTCGATATTATTTTCATTAAAAAAACGTACTGATATATTATTAATAGACTTTTAACAACATCATTACGTATTCGTTTTTCAATAAACACAAACAATTTCTAATGAGGGGAGCATAACTTGATGCTAGCAACAACATGCAATTGACATGCATGACACTCCCATTAAACAGAAATAGAGGGAAGGAAAAAATAAGGGAGTTTGGATAAACAATTTATAAGTATGAGAATATCAAAAAATGATTAAAATAGTAAACGCATTTCGAAAGAAAGAATCATAATTAACTAGCCATAATGATTAAATTAGTGAACTTGGCCACATTTTGTGGGTTTGAAATCATGGAGTGGGTGAGTGACTTCTTGGATGGAATGTTTGTCTGCCGAGTTTTGCTTCTTGTTTAAGTTCATGGCTTCCACTATCCTCCTAGTAAACCAGGGCCTGATACTAAAATATTTTATAATGTGTTTTTGGGGAAAATTGAATTTCGGGGTAGACATTTTGGAGCTAGATCGGACGGCTGAGGTTATCTAGTTGATCTAATTTTTGAGATAACAATCAAACCAACTGTTTACACGTGTCTTGGACCCCCAAATTGCATACAATACGTTTGTATAGAATGCTGCACGTTGCGGTTTAGATTAAGTTCATTCATCTCCTTCCTAATTGTTACCTTTTTGACCTCTTATTCTTCAATTCCATCGTTTTGGGTGGATTTACTCAATAAATTCAAGTGTATCTTTTTTGAGAGAATAACTCAATTACTCTTGAACGAAATAATTTTAAAAATTAAATAACTAGATATGGACTTAGTCAAATTGGCTAGAGCGGATATGCTCTGCACCTGAGTTCGAATCCATCCTCCCGTAGTTTAGATTAGATTAAAGTAAAATATCATTTATATTTTTTTAAATTAAAATTTTTCTAATATTACTGTTGGTAAGTGTTTTTTTGTTTTTGTGTGTGTGTGTGTTTTTTTTTGTTGGGGTTATCAGTTTTGGTTGGCCATCAAGATAAGCTTTAGACCGGCCCACGTGAAGCCTGGTATAGCTGGGCTTTTAATTAGGGGATTAGGGATAAGTCTAGAATTCTAGGCCAGATTGATGCTAGCCCAATATATGATGTAAAATGCTCATAAATATGCTTAAACTTTTGCGGAAATGTTATAATGAGGCCAAAGCTTTTTACCAAAACAAGAAATGTTGAAACTGATACTCGGGCCTGGGCCTGTTCTAATTTTTGAGTTTTAATTTGGTTTTCTTCTTGCTAGCCTGCTCTGGATCTTTTGTTTTTCTTTTTTATATACAAACAACGTTCTACTTTAATATAATCTATATTACGGGGAGGGAAATTCGAACTCAGGTGCAGAATGGGGAGTACATGATACATCCGTTCTAACCAACTTGACTAAGCCCCTGAATCTTTTGTTTATAAATATAAAAGCATATTTAGATGGACTAAAATGTGCTTCTTATTCTCTAGTGGAATGAATGGAATTGGTTTCATCTTCATTTTCTTTTGTAATAGAATTGAGGTGAATTACATTTTAATTCTTTGCACATTGTTTTGTGAAGATGATGTACTTGAAATTTTTCTTGACCCCCATGGAAACCAGAAGATTCAGCCTCTTATGGAATCTCAAAATCTTCCTATACATGCAGTCAAATCCAATTCTGGCCCTGTGCATGAATTATCAATTTTCTTTTAAAGAAAATAGTTTTCCTTATTTTTCCAAGATGTGTTGTCATACTGGTTCTCTCTCTCTCTCTCTCTCTCTCTCTCTCATGTCGGTTTTAATTAGTGGATGCAAAATCAGAATAAGCTTTCAAATATGTCTATTTTTCTTTCCCATCTAGGGGTACCCCACCCCCCACTTGTTTAGGCTGAATTCACTTGGATACCCTTGTTGTGATGCCAACTGATCAAGTCTTTTTTTTGCTTTTTTTCTTTTTGTGACATTGGATGAAAGGGTCCCATCAGATTAAATGATATGATTAAAAAGTTTTGTGTATCCAAAACCAGAAGTGAACAATTTAGAGAGAGAGAGAGAGAGAGAGTGAGCAATAAATTAATATTTCATGGGTTGGAGAATAGAAGAAGCACCATAAGTTAACATATTTGAAGCATTAAACTAAACAACATGATGGTTGAAGAATCCCCATCACAAAGAAAGAAGGGAAGAGAGGAAGGGAAGTTGAAGCAGGGCACATGGAAACAGGAGGCCATGTGGGGAAGATTCAGAGCCACTTTCTTTAATTTATTTTTTTTAAGTGAGCAACAAAGGAATAACATGGATCCACCCTACTCCCAAGGAGGGGTACCCTCTAAACTCCTAATAAAGGCATGTGATTGTAAGAGGAGCTTTGTTGTAGGCCAGCCCAATGCTGTACATCTGTAGGCTCCAATTCCTTGGCCCCACAAAACCCACACCAATTGCCTATCTATCCCCCACCTTCTCCTCTCCACACAAACAAAAAAAACAAAAAAAAACTTGTAGCTAAAGTGGTTAAAAGTATTTACACATATATCTAAGGTCTTAGTTTCGATTCTTCTCTCCTGTAATATAGACACGTACTCTCAAACTTATAGATGCAGGTCTTAAATGACGCGTACAAATCCCATCCATTGTCCTTTTGAAAGCCTATTGCTAAGCGTTCAAACCTGAGGATGAGGGGGCTAAGGAGTGGGAGAGATGCCCTAATTTCAACCAACATGGAATCTCATAATTCAATAGGTCTACAAATTAAGATAATCAGCCTACGCAGATTAGTGTTTCTTATAGGCATTAGGCAAAGCATATATTTGAGCCTATTTATTTATCCACTGCCTCTACTTATTTATTACTAAAATATCTACCATGTATCCATTTGAGGTTAAAACTTGTAGGCTTTTATACAAATATACCATGCTAAAATGAATTGTTATAGGAACTATGTTTCAAATCCCGAGGTGACACAAGAACAGCTCATATAAAATATTACATATAACTTTGATACCAAAATAACCAAAATTCTCCAGCAAATGCCAGAACCCCGAAATGAATGAATGAATTTGATAATGCAAGGTCCACGAAGAAGATGAATGTTAATTTATTTGAATAGTTAGCTATTTGTGTTGTCCACTATTTCTCTCCTTGGATTCTGGGTTTTCATGTTGCCTAGTTTCCTCGTCACACATGATGTGATCTTTCGATGCATGTGGGAGGGAAGTATTTGATTTTTCATGTTGCCCTGTTTTCCCACTAATAATCTTTCCATTAATTAATCTCTTTGCTTTACAATAATTCCCGTTAATTAATTTCCTTTAAATTATTTTTTGTTACTCTCATTTGGTCTGTGGCATTGTTTTCTGGGCGTTTTTAAAAATAATTAACCCCAGCTGATGATTTTCTTTCTTAGTATATTGAGGGAGAGAGAGAGAGAGAACTTGTGTATAATATTAGAGGGAGAGCTTTCGTGGACCCATCCTAGGATTTGGATCTTTCTTCTCTCTCTCTCTCTCACCTAAAAATCGCTGTCTTTCAGTCTGTGCACCCATCTCACCCATCCCCTTGTCCTTCTGAAAGCCCTGTCACCATGAAAGTGAGAGCCAGAACATAATCTAAAGCCCTTCCCTTATAAAATTTGTGTCAAAAAGCAGAGAGTACCTATTAGCCTATTAGGAAGCAAGCACATCATTCTTTTGCTGCATGAATTCATACCATTGACATGATGGCCTTCCCCTCTTGTCATAGTTTCATGTTCCAAACCCATGAAGATCCAGACCTCCACCTTGCTAATTCCTCCTCCCTCAACAACCTTCCCTCTTGCCCACCTCAGCACTTCCATGGTCTCTCTTCTCTCTCCCTCTCTCTCTCTCTCTCTTTTTCATTTTTATTTTCATATACTTTGGAAGCAAATCATGGGTTCTTCTTATTTGTGTAATTAATTATTTGTGTGGTTTGGTGTGGGGTCTTGCAGGTGGTGGAGTGCCTTTTATGATGAAGAGATCACTGTCATTTTCAGGTGTTGAGAACAATAAGTGCCATCATCATGAAGAAGTAGGACTGCATGGAGGAGGAGAGGATGATTTGTCTGATGATGGATCCCAGATTGGTGAGAAGAAGAAAAGGCTGAATCTTGAGCAGGTTAAGACTCTTGAGAAGAGCTTTGAGATGGGGAACAAGCTTGAGCCTGAGAGAAAAATGCAGCTGGCGAAGGCTCTTGGTCTGCAGCCAAGACAGATTGCCATATGGTTTCAGAACAGGAGGGCCAGGTGGAAGACCAAGCAATTGGAGAAAGACTATGATGTCTTGAAGAAAAAGTTTGATGCACTTAAGGCTGACAATGATGTTCTTCAGGATCACAATAACAAGCTTCAGGCTGAGGTAAGTTTTCTTACAGTTCCTTCCACTGCAGATTGGTTTTCTTCTTCCTTCCTCCCTCCCTCTTGGTTCTCCTGGGATTTACACAAGATCAGTTTGAAGTAGCTAGAATGATAATTAATTTTTCACAATTTAATTAATTAACTTGGTATTATAAATAATATCCATAGGATCAGCATGGATTATGGTGCATTATGATTACTAGGACATCTTAATTCCAGTGGCTGCTGGAGCTCTTGATCCAATGCACATAAATATATAATTACTACCAAAAGTCATTGTAATATTCCCTAATTTCTCTTAATCAGTGTCAGTCTGTCTGTCAGATGCGCATCTGATGAACAAAAGTATTTTAATTAATCTTAGTTAGTTGCTTACCTGCTTGCAATTTTTTAATGTTTATATGTTTGATATTCAAAAAGTCCCTTTTTTTTTCATTAATTGGTTGGAAATGGAAGAACTTGCATCTGAGAGTGATCATCATCAGTTTTTAATATCATAATTTCATACTTAATCTTGATTTTTGCTTGGGTTCAAATTAATGCTGCAGTTATTGTCTATGAAAAGCAAGGATTCAAATGAAGCTGGGCTTAATAATATTAATAATCTCAAGAAAGAAACTGATCAGGGTTCTTGGAGCAATGGAAGTGAGAACAGTTCAGATCATCATCATCATCATCTCAACCTAGACATTTCTAGAACACCAGCAACAACCAACAGCTCACCATCTAATTCCCAGCAGACAAATGGAAAAAACCTCTTCCCATCCTCCCTCAGGCCTACAAGCATAACCCAACTCCTCCAAGGGTCATCAAGATCAGATCTTCAGTGCCTCAAAGTTGATCAAATGATTCAAGATGAAAGCTTGTGCAGCATGTTCAATGGAATTGATCAAGAGCAGCAGCAAGGCTATTGGCCATGGCCTGAGCAGCACCATTTTCATTAATTGAACCAACCGCTTCAGGTTATTCTCAAGCACCCATTATCCAGTTCTGCCAAGGCCCAATGATCAGACAAGTAATCAATTAAACAATTAGGAAATTTTCCTATGAGTTTTAATTATTAATTTTCAAGTTTGGCTGTAGATTTTGATTGATGTACAGAGTTCAATATTTATGCTTCATCAATTTCATCAGTTGGGCTGAAAACCAGTAAGGGGAATTGATTGGCTCTGAATAATACACTTTCAAGTTTCTATATCCCATGCTTCAGTGGATTATGTGCTAATTATATTAGTTTGCTGGGTTGGATCATATTAAGAGTAGTGCTAAAAGATTTTATTTAAATTAAGATATACTTGTACATGTGCTAAGTGAGTGGATTTCCAGCGCTGGGATGCAGCATATGGGACGTCATGAAATAATATCAAAAGGATTCTCTCCCTGCAAATTTTCATTTTAAAAAAACAAAAAAAACTGTTGTTGTTGCTTTGGAATCATGATGTAGTAATATAAAACAATTTCTATATATGGAATTGCTCTGTGAAGTCAGTTGCAGTGATGAGGAAAAAAGCTGACTTCATGTAGCAGATAGAGGTGATGAAGATTAAAGCCTTAAAGGAAACTGTGAGCAAAATCTCTGTGGGAGGTTAAGAAGTGAAAAAAAGAAGAGGGTTGAGGTGGATTCTGAGTACACATTCCAAGTAGAAAGAAGCCAGAGAGATGGGAGAAGAAGAAAACAAATCAAGTAGTGGAGGGGGTTAAGAATGGTCACTGTAAATATATATTTGAGCTTTTGAAGGTGACGTTTGTAAATTTCCCTCTGACAATCGAGAGTATCTAACTGTGTACTCTCTCTGTAGCATATATATCCATGTGATCTACTGCCACCATATCCTATTATCATTCAACTTCAAACACACCATCTCTCTCTCTCTCTCTCTCTCTCTCTCTCTCTCTCTCTGTGCATATCTGTGTAGAAAACAAGAAACATAGCAGAGCAACATTCAATTCTTTATCATCATATGAACAAAACAAGCATTTGGGAGTAACATTACTAATTAATTGACCACATCTAGATCAGAACAAATTTTCAAAATAAATATTTAAATGAAATATTGAGAGTATTGTCTCATGTTGGGAAATTAAAATATATTAATAGTTTAAATGATATTGAGTTATCTCTCCATCCACAATCAATTGGTATTAGAGCAAACTATTCATGTGTCAAGTCCAACGATCACATTACCCAATATAAGTTATGCTACGTATTTAACTTAAGCGATACTAGAAGTGAGAGCAATGGTAAGTTACTACAAATACAATGAGCCACTTTGCTACATATATTTTTTAAGTTATACACCATAGAAGTACTGTCGTGATCTTGTGCATCATTTGCTTTAACAGAATTTGATAGGAATTTGAATGGCCAGCTTGGTGTTCAGGAGACCGAATTGATCATATCAAATTAATTAATCAAATAAAAGTTACAACAGTCAACCACTGATTAGCCAAACTATATATATAAATAATAATATATGTTACCTGCTGTAATAATAGTTAAATTTCAGCAAAAAAACCTTGGGACTTTCGTACAACCACCTTTCAGGCATATTTGCGTGTTCGACTGCATTAACCCCAGCCTGCCTTCTTACAGAGTGAGTGATATATCTCAAGTACAAGAGGCCCAATTGTACACAGTCCATGTGAATCTGCAGGCTTTTGTCTCCCTCAGTTAGACCATAAGAATCCTGTTTCGTCACATGTTTCAAATTCAACTGCGAGACACCCTACATCTTAATTCCATACCCTCATCATCAAATTTTATTTTTTTCCTTCTTCTTACTGTTATATATATTGGAAGGAATCGAACCCTTGCGGCTTAAACTAGCACGAAAGCAAGACTTATAATTAATCTGCACAAAATTTGAGCATACACAAAAGAGAGACTTAGAATAATTTGCGGATGAAATTGAGCAGAGTTTCTGCAGCATGCAGGGAACTTATCCGATATATGATCATGTCATTTTGGATCTCAATGCGTCTCAAAATTGTTTATGATTCATGAAATCATCATAAATCATGAGCTTGCTGACAGGGGTTTTGAGCAAACACATATAATATAGCAGGCGATGATTGAGGATTTTGGAATTGCACCAATTGCCTTGAACACCGCGCTGCTTGCAGGAGCAGTTGCATGCATGTTGTTTGCTCATCATCTCCTCAGTCGAGCTCATATATAATATAGTTTTTTTTTCTGCAAGAGGATGTTTCTGGAGGATTGAGATTGAAGGAGATCCACAAATTCTCATTAAAATACTCAACAAAGATATTCAAGTTGCAACTTCGAACCATTGTTCAAGGTATTGGCATATTTTCACTGAATTCCAATTCGTTTCTACTCAACATACAGAGAATCGGTAGCTATAGTTTAGTCAATCTTAGACATTTTATGATCATCCTTATATTTGGGTTTCTAATTTTTCTAGTTGTATTATGCTTAGATTAAAGATTGATTTGTAGCCAACACTTGCAAGGTAGTTGTCTCAGGTTCAAATTTTCATGACACGATGGTAGTGTGTGTGTAAGAAATCCCCCTCTCTCAAGGCCTCGTTTGTTAGAGAGAACTAAACTAGACTAGCAAAATACCTACATTTCATGTACATTCAAGGCATAATATGAATATTGTTGTTTAACTTGGAGGATTAAGGAGGACTATTCATAAGAGGTTGATGACTAAAATTTATCCCTCTTAATTCCACCATTTTCAAGCGGATTAGGGGGGATTAATTTTTAGTCATCGACCTCTAGTCCCTCTTCATCCTCAAAGTTAGACTACATTATCCATGTTATGCCTTGAATGCACATGAAATGTAGGCATTTTGTTAGTCTAGTCTAGTCCTCCCTATCAAACAAATATTTGTAGTTTAGACTATCAATTGTATTTTTTTTAAAAAAAGAAAAAGATTGATTTGTATGGCTTAAGGATTTGCAGAGGATCCTCCTTGTAATAGTCTTTTTAAAACTTATAGTAGCTAGGTAAAATAGGGCAAAGCCCAGAAATAACAAACAAACTCCAACATGGTGTGACTAGATTCGGAAGAGGTTACAATGAGACGGTTATTTGATGAGGCCAATCCCACCATTAAAATATTTAAAATGTTTAAGTCGCATGATTTCTTTACATTTGTTGATGGTGAGATTGACCTCTTCAAATAGCCTTTTCATTTTAAACTCCTCATTATAGCATTTTCAGACCATATCCACCCATGGAGAAAGGGCCCAAAGAAAAGTGTAGCCCAGATCTTGAGTAGAAGAAATTGAAATTTGTGAGTAGTTATGAAATTTGTACTATTTAATGGCATTAAACTAATAAGATACCAAATCATTGATGAACCCAACTATTTTTTATTTGCAGGGAATTAACTGATTTATATATATATATAATTAATTAAAACATTACTATATCATCTACTATACTAATTTGGTATTTAAGCGTTACTGTTTTCAAATTAATGAAACACGTTTGGACCTTTTAGAGACAGCCCAATTAAAATCTGGGCCAAATAAAAACTAATAAGAAAGGGAAGGTCCTGGGCTTTGCTTCCTGTAAATAGTCCTCATAAAAAAATAAAATTATAAATGCAGGGCTAAAGCCGAAATCTATCTATCTGTGGCGCGCGCGTGGCGCTGAAATTTGGTCGTCGTGGCGTTTGGTCTCGCTTGACAAAATCAACGACAAAAGTTAAACAACCCGACAGGAAAGCAAAAAAGGTCCTCAACAGCAAATAAAAAAGAAGAGCAGAAAGTTAGTAACATAAAATCAAACCACAAAAAGAAAAAGCAACAAGTTCATAAATAAAATAATCAGAAAAAAAGAAAGACAATCCCTCTATCTATCACATTAGTTAGCAATGATAACAAGACAAAATTAAGTCCTAATGAAACTAAAATCATGTAATCAAACGACATGTTGGGCATCTGCATGAGCACCACTTATCAGGAAAAAAACATCCAATCTGGATTTACATCATCAATTTTGAGAAAAATATAATGTTTTTTTCTTTTCAGAAAAAGAATTGGAGGTCTTCTTATTTAATAGGTGTGGCAGATGAAGATTAGCCAGTAACGTAGCAGAGTGACAAGTGGGGAAGCCTGTATGGAAATCAAGGTACGTTTTTGGCTCACTGCCTGTTGTTTTACACTTTACCTTTCTCTCTCTTAAGGTCTCAAAACATCCTCCTCATTCCTCACCCTTGTCCTTCACTCCTTTCCATGCTTAACGCACGTTTGCTCCTCTCTCTCCCTCTCACACACACACTAAACCACATTGTTCTTAGGTTTCTTGTAGCTTAACCTTGACGCGATTCTGTACTTGTCTTTGTCTGTCTCCATGTCTGTCTGTACCGGTGAATGTGTGTTTGGTTAGCTGGAAACGAACTGATGATTTTCGAGTGCAAAATGTGTTTTTTCCTCTTTGAACTCGTTGCCCTCTGAGATTGGGTTACTGGGTTTTCATCGTTTTGAGTGCGACATTCTTCTCTGTTTTAGCTAGGTGGTCGTCCTTTTGGCTTGCATGTCTGTTTTCTTATATGGGTCTTATCTTATCCATTGGAGTGATTTAATCATTTAACGCATATATACTCGATATCTCAACTTGGTTTTGGTGGTTTTGGGTATTCTTGAATTGAAGGTTCTCATATCTGAAAAGGGTCTAATGCATTTTGTAGAATTTTGATCATTTGGACAGTTTTTCTTCTCTGGGGTTGTTTTTCTATGTTATTTGTGTCATCTTCATTTTGTTCACTTGGTGACTCTGTATCAAAGGGGGTTGAAAGATTGTTTTTGGTGAAATTGCATATCTTTCACATATGAGGGGTTTAATTTAGGGTTTGTATAACATGGGATTAGGCCCTGATGCTTTTCATGCTGGAGCTTGGAATGTGGGAAAATCAAAGGGAAAGAAAAAGAAAGATGATGAAGATGAAATGACAGGGTGTTGGATGAAGTTTAGGCTCATGGGAGGATGCGTGTCTTCAAGGACCAAAGTGGATAGCTCTACAAGTGGAACTAGCACACAAGATGGTATAATTTATTTTCCTTTAAGTTTTGTTTCATTTCTCTATGTTTTTCCTAATGCCCTTTCTCAATTTTTATGGTCTTATTTGTGGATTGGATTTTGATTGATTCCTTGGCAATGCCATGGTGTGATTATTATATAGCATGTCGGCGTGCCATGCATATAGATGTTTTTAAAATTTGATTCATTCGTTGGTTTGAAAGCATGTTATCTTATGCATATTTAACTCATCAATCCTCATTTTTTCTTCATTTAATACTGTGGTCATATAAATATGTTATCCTGTGATCATATCTGTTTTTGCACTGTTTCTGGGTCTTGGTTTTATCCAGTGATAAGGTCCCATTAGTTACTAGTTTTTTCATTTCTTACTTAATCGAGAATGGCCAGGAACTTTCAAAAGTTCAACCATGAGGTGTTCACATTTTAAATTAGAATTGCAAAGAATATCACAACTTGCATAGATATTTCCAGCATGCTGAATTTTGACTTTTAGCATCGACTTTGATTCATGTTTGCTGACTGCTCCCCAAAATAAGGATACAGAGCTAGTGGTTTTGGATAGATGCTGTGCATGTGCTTGTTTGACTATGCGCTATATGAAAACAGCTAGTTTATTCTTTGACTCATGTTTGCTGGATGCTCCCTATAGTATGGATACACAGCTAGTTCCCTTTTGTCGTTTTCGATAAATGCTTCGCACGTGTTAGTTTGGCTATGTGCTATATGAAATGATTACGATTCCAGTTTTTGTGGAGGATTTATTAAGAGCTGTTTTGACAATTAATGCATCTTATGTGATGAGATGTGTTTCTGTATGCACATTTAGTAACGGAAAATGTTAGTCTCAATTGTTCTCTGCGTGCACGTGGGCAACTGACCGAAGCAAAACTCTTTCATAAAAGTAACATAGGTGGGAGCCTGTGTTACCTGTGTTCTGTAAAGTGATTAGACTGCTTATCTTTAGCAGTGAGTGCTCTCATCATGGGTCACCTACTTATTCAAATAGCAGTTTAAATTTTTTTACAATCTTCTAGATGTTAATCTGCACAAAATTTGAGTATATACACAAAGTATGCTGCTCATAATGAGAAATATTAGACAAGGAAAACATTTAATAAGATACTCACATTGGCAGAGCATTATCCGTCAACGAATTTTGCTGCATTAAATACCTTATCAGTGCTTTATAAATATGTAGATATACATCCTGATGTTCATCATACGGGAAGGGAATTGTTTGTAATTCCCAGTCGCGCCACATTTAGGATATGTCACTTCTCTTTATAGGGCTAAGCTGGTTGTCTTAAATTGTACCTGATGATTTTAATGTGGTATCGTTTGTGAACCAGCGGAAAGTAAATGTACAAATGACTCCATCAAAGACCAGCCAGCTGCTCCAGTTGCTTCGTCTTCAACCACTAGCAACACAGAAAGCACCCTGTCCACTCCCAAGGCAGCTGAGGAGCTGAAAGTTGCTTCTCAGCTTCGAAAATTCACCTTTGATGAGCTTAAGTCAGTGACAAAGAATTTTAGACCTGTGAATCTTTTGGGCGAGGGTGGATTTGGTTGTGTATTCAAAGGCTGGATCGACGAAAATGGAACTGCTCCAGTAAAACCTGGAACTGGGCTTGCGGTTGCTGTAAAGACTCTGAACCATGATGGACTTCAAGGTCATAAAGAATGGCTGGTATGGCACGTCATTATCAGTTTTTTTTCTTCCCATTACCACTGATTAGGACTATGGGTATTTGTTTCTTCACTTCCATGAGTGAGGGATAACCTTTCGTCTTTTCCTTGTGGCAGGCTGAAGTTATTTATCTTGGTGACCTACTTCATCCTAATTTAGTCAAACTATATGGCTATTGCATTGAGGATGATCAAAGATTACTTGTGTATGAGTTTATGCCTCGGGGAAGCTTGGAGAATCACCTCTTTAGAAGTATGTACTCAAAACAATATCTCGTAGAAATTTGTTTACCTAGAATTTGGTCTTCCTTCTGGCATTTTATTTTAGTCATATTTATTTTTGGAGGTACCATGAAATCTGAGTTTACTCTAAGAAAGTGGAGGTAACTATTTAAAGGCCTACTATAGTTACTGCTCAAGCATTGGAATTGTTTTCTGTTTCTTTTGTTTTTGTTTATACTCTCCTATCGGTCACTGCACTTTATGTTATATACTGTTCCTCCTCTTCATGCTCTTCTTTTCTTTGTTCTGGTAATAAGCCATATATTTTCTTTTGGCCTGAAGAATTATGTTCACCTGTAATGATATTTGAACTATTTTGACTCCTCCTGAATTTAGCCTACGACAGCTTTTAATATGATGATGAAGGCTGTAAGAATGACGGTGGTTGTATTTTTTGGTGACTAAGTTTCCTATTAGTATTAGCGTTTAAGTGTGGATACGCATTTTTGCTTATTATAACATTCTCCAAAAGTGCTTTCCGTAGGAAAGGAAAGTTTTTATGTTTTAGATGCTATTTGTATGCAAAAAGTGATAAAACAATCTTAAATTTTAGTTTGGAGGTTGTGTGACCATCTATTTTGATTTAATTAGTAAATAAAGATAGGGGTTAATACTTACTAAAGTTGGATGTGTGCCACCATTAAATGTGGTGAGGTAGTAAGCCTGTTTGTCTCCTTCAATGCTTGGGTTCCACAACTGGACAAAATGCCATGAGATGTTTCCTAGAAAAACAAAACAAAAACCAAACAAAGAAAGTTGGATGTGAGCGAGAATCTGTGCTGCTGCCCATAGAAGATGATTCTCTTATGCTTCAGTAATAGTTTTGTTGCCCATAGCAGGGTCCTTGCCGCTTCCTTGGTCTATCCGAATGAAAATAGCTCTTGGTGCTGCAAAGGGTCTTGCCTTTCTTCACGAGGAAGCTGAAAGGCCAGTGATTTATCGAGATTTTAAAACATCTAATATATTGTTGGATGCGGTGCGTTACGAACTTCAAGTTCAAATGTCTTTATTTTGCCCTGATACCTATTTTTCTAATCAATAATTTACTCTTCCAGGATTACAACGCCAAGCTTTCTGATTTTGGCCTCGCTAAAGATGCTCCAGAGGGAGATAAAACTCATGTCTCCACCCGAGTGATGGGCACTTATGGTTATGCAGCCCCTGAGTATGTTATGACAGGTTGGTATCATAAACTGTATGTATCATATTTTTTTGCCTTACTGTGTCAGCAGTATTACTGCCTCTTGTTATTATTCTCTGTTGCTTTCATATGGAATTCCTTGAACCCAGACCTGATAAATCTGGCACTCTTTCATAGGTACAAAGTATATAGGCAGTCTTAAACTTAAGATAAGATTATGTCATCCTGGTAACTTTTTCTTAGTCTACCCTCCACCTTCACCTTTGCCCTCACCATTCTGTGCCCGACTGCCTGACTCTTCTAGTTACTGCACCCATCAACTTTATTAGATACCTGTTTTATGGATAATGTGTCTCCATTAAACTCTGCCTGACAATGACGAATGACAAGGGAAAGAATAACTATACTACCATATGCATGCTACAATAAATATGACTGCTTCCAGCTGCTAGATTTTTGCTTATTGCAGCTATGGTTATTTTCTTATTTACTTTAATGTTCAAGAAAGGAGGGCCTCCCATGTTAAATATACTCGCATCTGTATTATGTATTTTAACCTTAGCATAAAGTTACATTCCTCCAGGTCTCATTTGCTTCTCAACTTCACCTGATATTATATGTATAAGTTTGTATTGAAGTCTTATATTATGCTTCAAGGGATTTTTGTAACTCATCCAAGTATAACGTGAGTTATCTTCTATCAGGACATCTTACTTCGAAAAGTGATGTATACAGCTTCGGGGTGGTTCTGCTCGAAATGCTGGTTGGTCGAAGATCAATGGACAAAAACCGACCCAATGGAGAGGTTAACTTGGTTGAGTGGGCACGCCCACACCTTGGAGATAGACGAAGATTCTATCGACTAGTAGATCCTCGACTTGAAGGCCGCTTCTCAATCAAAGGTGCCCAGAAGGCACTTCAGTTGGCTGCCCGTTGTCTTAGTCGTGATCCCAAGGCTAGACCAATGATGAGTGAAGTTGTTGAAGTGCTGAAGCCTCTACCCACTCTCAAGGATATGGCATCTTCCTCATCTTACTTCCAAGCCTTGCAAGTAGAGCGGCCTGGCTCCAATCCAAATTCTCGGAATGGCAGTAGAGGGCAGGCTGGGGTTTCAAGGAATGGACAACCAACTAGAAGCCGGTCCATGCCAAATGGTCCGCATGCCTCACCATATCACCTTAACCATCCTCACCGATCACCCAAACCTATCGCTCAATCGTAAGATTGAGCTTCTGTAAGATTTCCATTTTGTTTAATCTTATCAGGCGTTATATTTTAAGGGATAGGAGAGATTGGAAAAGGAAAAAGAAAGAAAAAACCTCAGTGGTAGTATTGAGCTCAAGGCCATTGCGGTCTTCTTAGAGATTATAGAATTTTGCCATCAAGCTTAACTTGTGCGGCTGGGAGGAATATATAGAAAATTAGCAAAGGAACATTTGCACCTTTCCATCAAATTGTGTTTTTAATTTAGACAAAGAAAAGAACCTTGTAGCTGCTGCTTGTATGCGAAGGTCAAAATGGTTATATATGTTTGTCTTGTTACTTTGTTTTATCAACTATTTATATCTTTCTTTCTTTTTCTTTTTCATTTATTTATTTATTTATTTTTTTGTGGTGGCATCTCAATGGGACGAGTTTGGGGAAGAGCTTTTGATAGCATGCCACTCTTTTTTCTGGCTCAAATGCTAGAAGAATCAAACCTTGCAAATAAAAGTTGGGCTGGAGTAGAAACAGGGCCACAATATTATTACAAAAGCAACCTCAAGACCAAAAAATTGATCTAATTATATCACTTGGAAAATTCTCAACAAATTTCACATTTGTGTCATCTTCGTTTCTTACTTCTCCACAATGAATTCTTGAATTTCAATTCCCGTATGCCGAGCCCCTCCCTGTAATCTAACTAAAATTTCATCTCCAACTTTAAGTGAAGTCACAGGAATGGCAGTTTTTTGCACTACAGTTTCTGCGGCAAATGTAAGTAAAAGTTCAACAACTGTAAGACGAACGGAAAATAAGGAAAACAATATAACTCAGCAAATTGAGAAACCAGTTACAGAGAGTGAGAGTACACCTTTGCTGGGACAAACTAAGGCCACTGTTTCTGCATTCTGTACAAGGATGCTGTATAGAGTTTGATTATCTGAATCTATCTGGAGCTGAAAAAAGTACAAATATCAACAAAAAAGTATATTAATCAGCGGCAAAAGTAACTAACTAGAAAATTATATTACCAGAAATGTTATCAAAATCCTCCGTGTTGTGAGGCGCACAATGTTCATAGAGGATTTGAGCTAACTTATTAGTGTTGTTGATAGCAACTCACGTATAGAACATACAAAAAGTAACACCAATAGGAATACAATTTAAGATCTTTTAAAAACACAATATAATTGTAGCTATTACAAACCTTTGCCTCCACAAGGATTAGCGGTCTAGTTTCTATTTTCACACGCCCAACAATCGCTGTTCGTTGATGGCCTTTCTGATCAACCAGAATCACCTCTTTACCTGATTTCAACTCTGAGAGGTAGCACGTTTTTCCTCCTGGAACAGCAACATAGGCATGTACAGGTCCCTGCGCATTTCACACATATATTTGGTAAAACAGACACTAATTGGGAGAATAAAAAAATTAAAACTTTAAAGGTCACAGTCCTTAAAAACATTTCCAGGGCCACTCTAAACCAAACTCACCGCATTGACACGAAAAGGCCTACTCGCAATGTAATTTGACTCCAAGCATTCCGAATGAACGAGGAATAGTCCCCTGGCAAAGGATCCAACCTTGAAGATAGTAAGAAACTCAGGCTATAAGAATGATGAAATAACAGAGAACCAGCTCAATCGCAATAGAGAGAGCAACACAATAACCGAAAATAGAGTTATAGCATACAAGAAGTCCTTCCCCAGGTCTCATGAGACTACAGAGATCAACACAAACTCGATCCCCCATTCCAGCTACTTGTACCGAAGTTACAGTGGCTTTGGTCAAGCTCAATATGTTGCTCACTTCATCTCGTCTGTCAAAATAATCCTGATGATATTAACCAATATAAGCAAAAGAAAAAAGCTTTCCATATGCCCAAGAAGCCCATGGCCAGTAACTAATCACCTTTAAGTCAAGAATAGCTTTTACATCCTCAACTTTTAAAACAACTCCACCCAGACCTTGCTCGAGGGCCTACAAACACAAAATAATGAACATGTACAGCGTTTAAGGATGCATAGAATTTAAGTGGTAGTTCAAAGTTCAAAACTGAAATGCTCATTCACTTGTCCTACTTTTAACACGTTTGATTTGTTGTACCTCAAAGAAGACTTGTGCTTCCAAAGGGGTTTTCGAGATGGCAAACACTGTTTTTTCACTCCCTTGAAATGCTGCAACTATATTCTCTGCAGGTATGACCTAAGCAACAAAAATCAGGAGCAGAACGTCACTCCATAACAAAAACAAAAAAGAAGGTAAACCAGGAAGTTCGAGAAACAGAAAGAGAGTGTGACAAACAAAATTTTCCATATCAGTCAGCTACAAACCTGCCAATCTAGTAAATCAACAACAACATTTTCCCCCAACCCTTTATCCAGCTGAAGCTGCTCTAACTCCTGGGGATTGGAGACCTCAAGAATTGTGGCAACACTTCTGTTCTCGCCATCAAAAATCGCTCCCTCTTGGATAAAGAGAGGATGTATCAAAGCAATTGCTGCCCACATGCAACACCCAAATCATCCAAAATGAGAAAATAAAATTCTAATGTAAAATGGCACTCCACAGAGCAAATCAAGCTTCTACAACAACGTCAAATTCATCCAAAATCTCCAATTAGGTACACCCATAATTGTAAAGTTTTTACATTTATCAAAATCTTCATTAATCAAAGCAAAAAACTTCAGTTTTATAAAGCATGAACCAGAAAAACCCAAAAACGTATAGACTATAGAAGTTTGAATGAGCTTACAGGACCACTCATCGGCAAGTTCACGACTTCGAGAAGAGAAGATGAAGGTGTTCCAGCCTCTCTCCACAGAAGCCGTCATGACCCGCTTGCTCTCCGTCCACACCCACACCCTCTTCGACTTGCCGTACGTCCCCGAAGACGACCGTGTAGAGGAACCAAGACCAATACTTGCAGAAGAAGACTTCTGGGCCAATTGGATTTCCTTAATACCATCACTAGCTTCCATTGAATGTTTATGTGAACTAATCAATATGCAAGTGTTCCATGTATCTGCAAAAATTAATCAACATACAAAGAGATAATGAAAAAGAATAAACACAGTGACCGAAGCTATTGACTTTCTCATATTATGATTGGCAGCGATGTACATTAACCTGCAGTAGGAGTGAAGCAGCGGATTCCGGCAACACAAGCAGAATGCAGCACAGCCATCCTTCTTCCTCTTCTATGGAGTCTTGGAGATATTATCGTCTACGCGCCAGGGACCGCAACCGCTGCCCCACAAGTCACATAGACGACGTTTTCGTTTCAAGAATAAACTGTCGTTTTAATAAGGGTCGACCCAGAACGAGTCACGGGTCAGCTTATGGCTCGTCAAACAAGCCCATAGATTGATCCAAAACAAAACTGGTCTCAAGTCCAAAAATAAAATTCGAGTCCATCCTTTCTACGGTTGGGCCATAAAATTTTAGCCCATTTTGCTTAAGTGTTTAAAATTCGTTTTAGGTCATTCGGGCACCACACCATAAAGTTGGAACTCGATAAAGAAGTGAGAATTCCAACTTAAGATCTTTTTCAATATTAGAAAGAGAAGTACCTACTAGATTAGCTTGTTTGGGAGTGCTTTTGGAAAGACTAAAAGTGCTTTATGACAACTAAAAGCGCTTTTAACAATGTTTGACAGAAAAGTTTAGAAGCACTTTCTGGAAAAACACCAACTATATGTTTTTTCGGGAAGCACTTGAAAAATTCAAGATTTTTATAACATTTTTATGAGAAGCGCTTCTGAGCAAAAGTACTTTCTAGAGAAGCAATTCCAAACGAGTCCTAAATAGTTTTGATATTCCAACTTAAGTTGTTTCAATACTACTCGAGGTTTGAGCACTAGGGTGAAGAAGAATTATAGATATTCTCGAAACAAATATAGGATATAAGATTTTATCCAAAAACTAAGAAAATTATTAGGATGTATTTCAGCATGACATTTATTTAATTAAAAGGGCCTAACCTTGCAAGAAACTCAAACCACAAAAGGTAAAACGATAAAATTTCCTCAAGATTACAAATAAAGACTTATATGCACACTCTTCTTGTTATGAAACTTATGAGGCATATGGAGCTTTAGTTGAAAACTTAAACAGCATATTATGCTTGTAGGGCTTTTTCGGAGTCACAATCGTTGAAGGAAAATTAGGGTGATTGACTGCATCAGGAAATCCTTGAGTCTCCAAACACAATGCTGCATGTGGTTCATACACAAACCCGCCTTTTCCTTTCACATCCTTGAGAGAGTTACTTGTGTAAAACTGCAAACCAGGAGCATTTGTTGACAGCTCCAAAACCCTTCCAGACTTTTTATCATACACCACCGCTGCCGGCTTCAACTTGTTGCCTGCGCCGCCATCAAGCACGTAGTTGATGTCGTAACCGCTGGCCAGCTTGTTGATCCTGCTGCCAACGGCTTTCGGTTTGAGGAAATCATAAGGAGTTCCTTTCACAGATGCAAACTTGCCAGTGGGAATGAGATGGCTGTCTACCAGAGTGATTTGGGATGCACAGATCTTGATATATTGGGACAGAACATCACCACTGTTGTGACCACCAAGGTTCCAGTAGGTGTGTTGAGCTAGATTCACTGGGGTTGGCTTGTTTAGAGCCTTAGCTTTCATTTTAACACTCAATTGCTTGTCTCCAAGGAGAGTGTAGCTAACTGTGACTAGCAGATCACCAGGAAATCCTGCACAGAATATGTCACAATGAATTGGGTTTAAAAGCAGAATCCAAAGCCATAAACAAAACATGCATCTATTGGGTTACAGAGAAGAGGAGCGAAATGAAAAGTTTTGTGCACCTTCTTCACCATCTGCACTATGGTAGGTGAAGACAATGTGAGGAGCATCGCCTTCATTCTGATACTTCTGCACTTTCCAAACAACATCACTAAATCCTATAAGCCCACCTGAGAGATTCATTTAACCAAATAATCAATTTGCTGGTCTTGCATTTCTTCTGCTGGGTAAAGGAATGAAATTAGTTTCAAGTT